TGATGTGATACAGCAATCTGTATACGGGGTAAAATTGGGAGTTCATAACCCACTTGAATCAAACTGTGAAATATGATGTATTAAGAACTATGTAATGTTTTGAACGAGCAACAATAATAAAAAAAAAAAAGCGCCAGTGAAAGATGTCATTTTCTCTTGGTGTGCTTAGATGCACAGCTATGGGGATAGGTATGATGGACAGCAGAGGCAGGAAGAAAAAACTAGGTGAAGAGGTGTAGTCAAGGAAGTTGCTGAAATGCAGTTTAAGTCAAGTTTATGGGGAGAAAGAAGTCACATACCTAAGGTAACTAACTGTGGGTCCGGTTTTCTGTGTGGCTGATGAAGTCATTCAGAATGATAAATTGAGATGGCAAAGAAAAAGTCAGAAACCACCCCCCTAGTGAGTGCAGAGGATTAGCCTGGAGCATAAATTGATGATTAATATTAAGAAAGATGGAGGATGATTTCAGCTTTGTAGAGGGAAGAATTTTCCATTAGGATTGATGTAGGACAATTGAAACTGTAGATTTGGGTCTCATTGAATAAGTGTACCTGTCAATTTAGACAGGATTTTTAAGCATCAGGGAAAGACCACTGTGGGAGAGCATACTATGAGAGTCAGGAGGTAGCTGGGCAAAGCAGAGTACAGCCCCTTAGTGGAGTTGTGGGAGGAGGAAAAGAACYGTGCAGCAGGGTCAGTAGTTAGAGATTATAGTGCCGTCCTGCTGGACACCTACAGTTGCTTCTGCCGGATAACCTGTTAGTGACTGGGAAACTTAGTTAACTAGAGATTTAACCAGARTAATGCAGTTCCGTAAAAATGATTACAATGTAAAGGAAGGACTGTTAGAAACAAGTGTTAGATGRCTATTACAACCAAGCAAGTGTTCGTTGTCTTTCAGGTCGTTTTTAAACCTCTTCTGAGTCATACAGGCATCCAGTCACAGGACACAGTGCCACTCTGCTACCGAATGTACTTTGGAGAACACCTTTCATTTTCGGGGACTTTGGACTGCCTCAGAGCAGATATTGTGGATTCAGATACAGCAAAAGAGAGAAAAGGCAAAAGAGCAAGAAGGTATCTTTTTGCATTTTGTTGTTTAATTTTGTGCAAGAATCGTACCTCCTRTTTGTCTTTTAACTTTGCTTTCTTCTAATCCTAGTGACAAAACGATTCTAATATCTTATTTAGAAGATAATTTCTGTTTAATAAAGTAGGCACATTTTAAATGAATTAACTTGTTCATTATGTTAACTTATTGAGAGGTCTATTTTAAAGCATTTTAATACCATGATGGCACACATACGARGGTTGTCTGAAGTGCATTTCTTGATACAAGCATTCAGTGTTAACTACTTGGCCTGCAGCAGTGGGGTATCTGTGGCCTTATGGATTGCAGTTTCATAACTGTTTAGGATTCTTCACTTGCTGTCTGAGTTGACTTGCAGCAGGTGGTGTTTTGAATTAGGAGCAGCATGGAGACCTCACTGAGAGTGCAGCCATCAGAAACTGAGCCAGAGCCCGAGTAGCCTGGTGGGAGACAAGCCGTCTTGTGCTGCAATCTGTATTCTTGAACATTGACAGTCTCTTAACTGCTTCACAGGCAGTGGGACGCCCACTAACAGGACCTAACTGATCTTGGACCTTTCATGAGTAGGAATAGTGGGGTGGGCTATGGTCCCAGGTAGCATTTGTGACTAAAAGTTTATGCAACCTTCAGTTAATCCTATTCATGCRTTTGCAAGGTGGTAGATTAGAAGTAAAGAGCACTTTTATTCAATATATAGCTATGTAAAATATATTTTTCACTTGAAATATTCTTTTGAATACTTTTTATAACTTAACAAAATTAGATTTTATAAAATTTCACAGAGTGATATAGAGAAAATTGTGAATTTCTTAAATTTTGTTTCAGGTCAGAATATCTGAGGATTTCTAATATCACAGGAACACCAAAATTGCCTTGTCTTTTCTATTAAATACAGGACTCCTTGCCATTCACAGTGGAGTGGTACCATGATAGTAGCCACAAAAGCTGAGACTGATTTTAATTAATGGGAACGAAGTTGCTTTTAAGACCTTGAAATGTTTGTTAAAACATTAGAAGTTTTATGTTAATTTCACATGTATAGAAAAATGAAAAAATAACACTTAATACATAGTAATATAGAACATCAGAAATGTTTCTTTGTAAAACCTCTCAAAGGATATTTTGCACAGTTCTTTCCTTCTCTCTGTACAGCATAGAATACTGAATGAGCATCTTCTCTGTGCCTTGGAGAAATGTCCTACTCCTTTGTAAGCAAGGGTCAGTTGGTTCCAACCCTTTGTCTTCAGTGTCAGGAACTGTGTCTTGAGTAGTGTCAGCAGTGCTTCCTCTGGATGTCTTCTTACTTCCCGCTTTCCTCTGTAGGTCAGTGCGTTTACCTTGCCATTTCCTCTGGCTGCACACCTAGTTTTTCCCCAGAGTGAACGAATCAGCATTCCTATGGTCCCATGGTCCTATGTCTTTTCCCACCCCATTTATACTGAGTTGAATTTCTCTACCAGTATTACCAGTGTCTTTGTTTAATTTTCATCTTTGTTATCCAGCTTCTTCTGATTACTGAGGATTTATCACTGGGCAACCAGGGGCAACACAGCTAACTGCTGTGTATAGACTGAAAGCAAATGTGCATTGGTCAATCACTGACAGACTGAGGGAGTGACAGTGATAAATGTCTGTTGTTTGTATAGTGAAGACCTATAGCAAGCCTGTCCTCAGAGTAAATACCATAGTGATTGAAGTTTATTCAAATTTGAACCTAGACAGCAAAACATTAATACCTATATGTACTCCCTGTCTAGGGTTGAAAGATCTGAGCTAAACTTGTATTTCTATTTGTAATAGCTGGCTTTCACAAAATTAAATATATTTGTATGTGCATGTATCTGTTCATGCACACATACATTATATACATGTCCATGCATGTGGATCACATGCAGGTGCTATGGAATCTATACATAATTAGACAGATGTGGATTACATGTACATGCAATTAGATTCTAGTCACAGCCTTCTTCTTTTCAGGTCAGAGTATCTGAGGAGTTTCTAATGTCACAGGAACATTGAAATCCCCCCCATCCTTTCTATGAAGTGCGTGTCATACTGGTGGAGATTAGACCTTCCTCCAACTACATTTCCCTTTTATGTTCCCAGAGAGATTCTGTGCTCTCTGAACTGAATTACCTTTGGTCTAGTTGAATTTAATATTCCTTTTAATTTTTCTGCTATCATCTCAGTTCTGAATGTTGTACACTCTCACAACAAACTCGTTATTGGCTTTTATTTCTCAGATCTCCTATAATTCCATCTGAAACTCTTATTACTTATTTGGAGACCTTAAATGCACTGTCCTTTTCCCGTCATTAATTTCAGTCTCACCTGGTTTTGTTTTTGGAAGCACATTGTTCATTGTGCAAATTTTTGTACATTACTTTTGGGTCCTAATTTCTTGTGAAACACATATAACACTCCCACTAGGCTGTACAGCCAGGGCAGTTATTAAACATTTAGCATAGAGTCTGGAATGTAATAGATTCTCATAAATACCTTCTTATCCCTGCTGTCTCCAGTCAAAGTAGTTTCAAATACTAAGGATTAAAACATATTTTTGCATTTTAATTGTGTTGTTTTTTTTTTTTTTCATGCTGAGCCCATGCCAGCTCTTTGTCTCCAAGTGTTCAGTCATACTCTCAGTTGTTTGGCTTTTTTCCCCTTTTAAACTTGAGTTTTCTGGCTTTAGGATTTTCTTGCCATTGTTAAAAACTTGTTTTAGATTCTTACTTTGCAGTTCTGATTCTCATTATCAGAGTTTTCCTTTTCTTACCACATAGTCAGCATTGAATGTGGGCTTCCTCTAAGGTTGTGCAACTTCATGAATTACACTAGGATGCAGCACTTTTCTTATTAAGTAAGCAATACTAGTATTCATTAAGGAAATGCCATTTTAAAATTGTAAATTCTTTAATTGGGAATATTTTCAAAGTACCTTTTGTTTTTTGTTATTGTTTGTTTGTTTGTTTTGGTAACTGAAAAGGTTGATGTTTAATTTGACCTTTATAACTGTACAGTCAGAGTACACATGAAAAGGAGTGGGAAAATAACCTTTTTAAAAGTTTTGGTATTTGAGATTGTTATTGGTAGTTGTTTTATGGAAATTTGAGATTCGGGGGGTTTAAATTAAAATTGAGCTTCATATTCTTATACAAAAATCTTTAAATAGGATTTTCCAAAATAATTTTTGTACAAGATTTTAAGTATTTTTCATGTATATTTTTTATTTTCGTTTCAGTTGCTTTTCCTCTCCACGTAAAACTTGGTAAAGCATGCCATGGGGGTTTCCTTTCTAATGGCAAATAAAATTCCATTAAATATGAAGAAATTAAATATGTAGTTTAGTACAGAGAGGGTGGAGAGGTTAAGRGATATGTTCTAACTGATCTGTAATTATAGAACCATCATTTCTACCATTGAATGGCAGGAAAGAGTTGTTTTATCGCTTCATTGAAATCATTTCTTAGTGTAGGAAGACTGACTTTGACTTAGTAGTTATAGAGTAAAATCCATAGGGAAGACTGTCTAGTGAGAAAAACCGTAATCTTGTTGGCTGTCTTGCTTAAAATTATTTATATGGCTTATGCCATATTTCACCTTGGAGATTAGTCTGCTTACAAATTTATAAAGATGTGTAGTTCTAGAAAAAAAAGTAAAGCCTTGTCCTTTTTTTTTTTTTTTTTTTTAACTCTTAGGCAAGGGCACGTGAATCTTCCTCCACTGGAGTTCAAGCCAGCACTAATGTTGGAAACGTTTAGCATCAGTGCTGTGGTAATGGAGAAGTCTGTATGCACACCTCAGAACTCCACCAGTGCCCTTTCCTTCCACGATCTTAACAAGCGCTATTATAATACCTTCCACTGCAACTTCACTATTTCCTGTCAGTCAATTAGCCAGCATGTAGATATGGCTTTGGTTCGTCTCATTCACCAGTTTAGTACAATGATAGATGATATCAAAGCAACTCAGACTGACATTAAACTTAGCAGATACACAGCCGGATCAGCTTCCCCAACACCCACTTTCAAAACCAGAAAGCATCGAGATTTTCGTTCTTCTGACTTCAGCCGCAGTTCTAGAGGAAGTCTTAATGGTGGCAGTAGAGTAAATAATGCAAAGAACAAACGGACCAACAATGAGAATAACAAAAAGGAATCCCGGAACAAAAATTCATTAGGCAGATCTGAAAGAAGAACTTCAAAAGTGTCTAGGAAAGGTTCAAAAGATGTGGTGGACCACATGACTATTCATATGGATGACTCTGATTCAATCACAGTGTCAGAACAAAGTGAGCCTTCGGCTGAGTGCTGGCAGAACATGTATAAGCTGCTTAACTTCTATTCACTCATCTCTGATCCAACAGGAATATTAGAAAAATCTTCAGAAACATTTGGACCTGCAGGTAACAGAAATTTTAGTGATTTAAAATTATCTGTTTATAGAATAACAGTAATAAAAAAATCAAGTTGTTCATCCTGGAAAATGTTTTGGATGGATAATTGAAATGCAGAGAAATTTGACACTGGGGCTGGGGATGTGGCTCAAGCGGTATCGTGCTCGCCTGGAATGCTTGCAGCCCAGGTTCGATCCTCACGCCACATACAAACAAAGATTTGTGTCCGCCGAAAACTAAAATAATAAATATTTTTAAAAAATTCTCTCTCTCTCTCTCTCTCTCTCTCAAAAAAAAAAAAAAAAAGAAAGAAATTTGACACTGCCAGGAGAATAAATAAACATGGCCTTCCATTTTCATACTGCCTTGTTTCCCATCTTTCCTCCCTCACATAGGGTGCTCTTAGGGATTCAGACAAACTAGATTTCAAATATCTGGCTCTGCTATTTACTTTCAGTAGGAACTTAGAAAATGTTGTTTTGAAAAGATTAGATYGTTTTGGTGAGGAAGAAGGCTTGTTGCAAATGTGAATGAAAGAAAGATGGGATGGTATATGCAATGTCCTTCCATTTTTCAGTTTTCAGGTCTGACAGTGTATTTCCATTTACTTTAAAAGGAGTGCGGAGCCCTACAGAGCCAACATGTAAAGTTGTGTTTGAGAATGAGCAAGACACCAACAGTTTGACCAAGACACAGAGGAAACGTAGCTTGGTGAATTCTGAGCCTCAGCACGTTACTCTAATAGTGTTTGGGATTGGAATGGTGAACCGCACGCATCTAGAGGCAGACATTGGTGGGCTGACAATGGAATCGGAACTAAAGAGAATCCATGGCAGTTTCACCCTGAAGGAAAAGATGAAAGGTATGCTGRGGGTCCTCCTACCATAGTGCTGCTCTGCTCAAGAGATCCAGTGGGCCAGAAGTCCCACTGGGCCCCTTTCCTTCCAGAGATGAGACTCCAGGTTCTGTGGTTGAGTCTTAAGGACTCTGAGTGTAATTGAAGACCAGCAGGTTGAGGCAGCTCTGAAGTCAGTGAAAACATTTGGGAACATAAATATCTAGCTAATATGTTTAATACCAGAGGCACTTTATCTTTGAAAATCTTTTAATGTCCACTAGTAAGAGTTCTCTAGTAACTGAAAATATTAAGAAAATAAGAAGTTTGTGAATTATTTGCTTTTATTTGTTACTGCTATAGTAATTTTATAACCCAGTACTCATTTTGGCATCATGTAAGAAGTCATTGCGAAAGCCTGGAGAGGGGGTGCACATGGCAACCCCAGGTATCATGAGGATGAGGCCACAGGGTCATAGGTTTAAGGCCAGCCTAGACAATTTAGGCCCTGTGGCAAGTAGRAAGARGGCTGGGGCTGTAGCTCAGTCACCTGCACCCCTCCCCCCCAAATTTCATTAGTTGATAGAAAATTTCATGCGTTCATGAAAATGTACCGTACATCTCAAGAGTGATCACACAGGTATGGCATTTCAGTAAATCTAACAAACCACCATGATTTTATGTGTCATAAAATAATGTTGCCCAATATATAATGTTGCCCAACAGTTGCTGTTGATTATAAAATGCATCCTGGTTTCTGAGATGCTAAAATAAAAATAAGTGCTAACATACATACAGCAATTTGAAGCTAAACTTTCAGGGATTCCTTCACAGCAATGACTCTGTAATATCAGCATCTTTTCTTTCTAGTTGTGAAGATAAACTGACAGGTTATTTTATATGAATAAAGGAATTTATGAGTCATGTTTTTATTAACGATTTACAATATGTAAGATTTAAATAAAAGTTATTTTGAGCCTACTTTTCATTGTATATTCTTTATATTTATTATTTAAAAACTAAAATTATACTGATAAAAAAATTCTCTGAAGAAACTATATGGATTATAAATTGCTAAGGAAAATATAAACACATCAGTCCTCCTTAGGCATATAAGCAAAGGACATAGTATACCAAAGTTCATCTGGCTGAGCTGACATAAACAACTGGTTTGACTTCAGTGGTTGAAAAAAAAAGAGTTATCAGTTGTTTATCTATGGGTTTAGCAACAAATTAAGAATGATAATTCCCAGTTTGGGTGAAAATTAGGGAAATGGTTATTTTCATTCACTTCTAAATAAATTCAGATTGCTTTAACTTTCTCAAAGGTTAATTTGGTACTTTTTATCAGAATCTTTATATAAACTATATGTATGCTTTGACTCAGCAAGTCCAGATCTACACACCATTGTAGAAGAAAAAGAGTCAGACTGTGTGAAAAGATGTCTGAACAGAGAATCAGCCAGAAGTCTGGCATTAAAGAATTGGCTGTTTTTTGTTTGTTTGTTTGTTTATTATATTGTAGAATTTATTAATATGAAAAAATGACAAATGAAAAAAGTGGGAAGTGATATATATATATATCTCATTTGGTTTTGAAAGTAATAAAAAGATTGATACCCTATGTTAAAATCATAGGAATTACATAGACCAAGGGTGCTAATTATGGATTCTTTTTCCTTTATTTTTAATTTTTAAAATTTTTCAAATTTTCTTACTAAGAAAATTTAGAAATAAGCTCAGAGAATACAAAATAGTATTATTTCTGAGCTTAAAAATGCTATTAGGGTTTTGGTACCAAAGGCTAGTTAATGCAAGAAAGGCATATTGAAGTGTGTATTTTGCAGGTACTGTGTATGTGTATCTGATTACAGAGAAATAAAGACCTGTAAGGAAATTTTCAAAAAGTATTTCCAAAATACTTGAACAGATTTTATCATAACTTTATAGTTATCTTTTGTTACTGAGTATATCATGAATAAAATGAAATTTTAATATGAAGTATAGTTATCTTATTTCCAGAATTCTAATAATTGTTTTTCTCATATTTAAGATGTTTTACATCAAAAGATGACTGAGACATGTGCCACTGCTCATATTGGTGGAGTTAATATCGTGCTTCTTGAAGGAATTACCCCAAATATACAGTAAGTGTGTTAATTGTTATTAGAGTCTTTCAGAAAATTTGATATTCATTGGATGAGCTCATACTTAGTAGATTTTTAGGTTTATACATAAGGATCTCAGGCACTAAGATTCCAAATGTCATTAAGAATATCACCAAATAAAATGCTCTTAGGAAAGTAATGTTTTTTTCTAAAACAGTTTTTGCTACCTGTTTAGTCTCCCCTACCCCTGACAAAGCTAACTCCCAGTACTTTGTAAGTTTGTCTAACAGGAAAAGTGATCACAGAACAAATTTCAGTTCACATATAAGATGAAACAATATTATAGGCAAAGAATATAGACCATATCTTAATATTACATTAAGTAGTGTTGCTCATTCACACTTGATTTTAAAACTTTCTCTTTTCATTTTTGCTTTTAATGAATTTAGCCAAAAAGCTTATGGAATCCTTGTAATAGTATAGGTAGCCATGGGAGGGAGTACCCAGGAGTGAACCCATGGTGCTTAACCACTGAGCCACATCCCCAGTCCTTTTAACTTTTTATTTGAGATAGGGTCTCCCTAAGTTGCTTAGGGCCTCACTAAGTTGCTGAGGCTGTATTTGAACTTGGATTCCTCCCGCCTCAGTCTCCTGAGCTGCTGGGATTACAGGTGTGTGCCACGGTGCTGGTTTCCTGTGTTTTTATTTTGACTTTGTTCTGAATCTTTTCCCTTTAAGTTCTGTTCTTGGTCCTGTTTGGAAGAACTCTGTTGATGATCACCTTTACACAGGGCATTCAGACTACTAATCTGTGATCAGCACATTTAACTATTTGACTTCTTCGTGTCCTTGGTAGTATGTACCTTTGCTCCTAATTTCCTTTCGTGGAACAGTTTTCTACTGTGACTACAGTGTGTTTTGATAACTTAGGTCAGGTTTTGAGCGCTTGCTCTTCTTGCTGTCACAGCTGCTTACTGTGCTTCTGTTGTCCTGCAGTGCATCCAGCATTCTAATGGATGACTGAATGGAAGCTTTGGCCATAGATTGACTAAGAAGAATCATCAGTTATAGCTCTAGTCATAGTACTTAAAAGTCTACCTGATGTGGTGACTGTCTTGGGAACATTCCCTGAAGTGGGTGTTTATAAGTGGGTTGTCGCTTTTTGCCATGAGTGTTGATGATTTCTTTCAAGCAATCATCTTAGGTTTAAGTCTTGCTGGAATAGTTTGGACCCATAAACTAGCATCCTTATGGGTCTAGATCACGTTTCCTAAGCAGTGTTCTAAAAGAAAGACCAGGAAATACCAGTGGTTGTGAGAGATAAGATCTTTTTCTATTTACTTAGCATGAGGTCGCGGGGAGTGTTATTATCTGACATGAAAATATTAAGAAGTGGGCCAGGAACCTCACATCAGTTATTCAGTCTACACTGCAATGCTGTGAACGGGTGGTTTTATCCGCACTTTTTAGAACAAAAAGTTGAGGTTCAGAAAGATCAAAACATTTAAAATCATATGTTTAGTCTGAAGAGATGCCAGTACCTATTCTACCAAGTCCTGATGCTTATGTAGAAAGTCACAGAGGTTAGAGCCCCTGATCTCCTGATAGACTCTTAATTTGAAGGGCCAGGGTTGCTTTAGCCTTCTCAGGAAGTAAACTGAGTTTCTTTAGATGTTGCATATGTCATATGTGCTCTGTCCCCTTGGATTTCTTCTTTCTAGTATCACTTAAGAGAAGGGCTTCAGATGTTCYCTCAGCTTGTAAATCTTGTATTTATTTACAAAACAAATTTTTTTTTTTTTATACTGGGAATTGAACTCAGGGGCACTTGACCACTGAGCCACGTCCCTGGCCTTATTTTTGTATTTTATTTAGAGGCAGGATCTCACTGAGTTGCTTAGGGCTTTGCTTTTGCTGAGGCTGGCTTTGAATTCATAATCCTYATGCCTCAGCCTCCCAAGCCACTGGAATTACAGGTGTGTGCCACTGTACCCAGCTTACAAAACAAATTCTGTAAAAAATGTTAAAACAAAGATGATATTTCTTGACCCTACCCCACAGTAAAGTTCACTGAACTGTTTTATTTGAAAAATAAAAGTTATTCATTCATCTCTGCCATTCTTGTAGTGTTGAGTTAAACATTTCATTTCCAGTTGCAATGAAAGGAAATGGAATGAAAAAGTAGATTAGAAAATACTTTGAAGGAAAATTTTATGAGTGGGAAGTCAGAAAAGATTTCCAGGTGATTGTCATGTTGTAACTAATTCATATGAATGTTTATTTGCTTCCCTTTTGTTTTCCTGCTTTCTCTTGAATCTTCATCTGTAGACTGGAGGATTTTCCTACATCTCCTACAAGTACAGCCAAACAAGAGTTTCTGTACGTCATATTCTTTTTCATGGCTTTGTGATTGATGTAGAATCATATAGTTTTAAAGATAAGTGTCTAAATTACCTTATGGCTGTGAATATATATAGTTATTATTCCACAACTTTAACATAGACACTTCAGTAGAGTAAAGCTTACTAATGTTTAAGGAAAACACAGGTAAGGGCTACCTGTTGGGTAATTCCTACCTTGTTTTATTGTTGCCGTAGTTTGTAACATTGTAGTTGTGTGTTGTTTTTTTTTTTTTTTTTTTTAGGCATGTTACTGTTAAAATGTCTCTTATTACAAATACTTGTTTATGTTTGATATTATTAAGATAAAGAAATTTCACTTTTCAAATTTTTTTTTACTTATTAAGAAAATTGTTATTAAAACATTAACAAAGATGGGAAGAATTTATTGTCCTATTGACACTTTTTTTCCTAGGGTTTTATTATATGTGCTTTTATATTTTGAGTGACTTAATTTGACCCAGTGTATATCTGGTATTTTTTGATACTGAGCTAATTTAAATATTTAAATAACATTTAAATGTGTTTAAATATTTAAACTTTCACCATATTTAATCCCAAAGTTATAGCAGCTAGAGATTTCTTTTTTATTCATTTTTATTCACTGAATTCTCTGAATATATTAATACTGACTTTAGAGAGAATGCTCTCACGGGATTAAGGTCATATCTACTCAACAATTATTGATTAGTTTTTATACTATGTGCTAGAAACTAGTGTAGGTTCCAGAGATGTAGCAGTAAGAAAATAAAGAAGTGGTCTCTGTCATGATACCACTTAGATACCCCTCCTTCCTTTTAGAGTTTTCTTCTGAGAGAAATATGTAAGGTGCAGTGACCAAGTAGAAAAGAAATTCCAATGATTTTTAACAGTTGAATCAATAGTAAATGATCACTATACTCCACATCCTAGAGATTTTTAGAGAGTCTTGAACCAAGGTGGACAGTGTAAGCCAAGTTGCACAAATAGTCTCCTTCTCCCTGTCTCTGAAGTCTGGGACCTGCTGGGGGTGGGGTTGGAGCTAGAGCTAGTGGTTATGATGGTGTGGGACCATCATGTCGTCCAGCTCCATGGAATGCCTCTTGAAGTGGTGCACTATGAATGGGCTCCTCTAGTAATGGGCAAGGCAGAGCCCCCAGGTCCTTAATACTTAACATCAATATCTCCCCTGGAAATACCTCTGTTGTGTCTCCAGTAGGAGAGCTCAGCCCTATTTGCTTCTATTCTGACTTTTGGTAAATAATTGAGAATGCAGTGTTGCATATGCTCTTATATAATTAAAAGTGGTATTTTGGGAAGCTTCCTATGTTACAGAGGGAAGCAGTGAGGTAAATGTGGAAAGTATTTTCAATTTATATTTTCACTGAGTGGCAAAGAACTGATTAAAATCTGATTTGTACTGAGCAAGGCTGCTATTCCTAGTTAAGAATTAGGAAGTTTTATTGGCATAGATTGGCATTTCTTAGGGTTGAACAACATGATGGTCTACACCAATCAAACTGAACTAGAAACTGAGAGGGTGCTCTTGTCAGAGTGCACCTGGAAAGGATGTAAGGAGACCTGTACTAATGAATGAGATAGTTTATAGGTTGCCACTGGGAGTTATCAATTGATAATTATAATTCTTAAAGAGAGTTGTTACTTAGTCAAGGCCACATAACACATAGTGTATGTGTGACTTTTACACATGAAAGAAGTGATCAGGGTCTAACATGGAGATGATAAAAGCATGTGGCCTGATGGGTGTTCCTGAGGCTTGCATGAGAATTTACTGCAAGTGCCCAGGAAGGCTGATGAAAGGATGCATCCACAGTGCTAGTCCAACTCACATGCTCCACCAGGTCCACTGTAGCCTCACCTGCAACACCCACAGTGCCCAACAAGGAAGGGGGCTTTTCCCGTTTTGCTTTTACTTCATGAGTTCAGGCGGTAGGGCTTTTAAAGTGCCTRGCTTGCCTTCAACTTTTTTTTAACATAGTAAGTGATTGTCAAGAGTGATTTCTTTGACTCTGATTAGATTTTAGAAAGCATAGTATTTTTTTTTCCTTTTCTTTTTAGCATCTTTCTCTTGTTAGTGGTTGTACAAATCTCTAAGTTGGAGGAGGGGAGTTTCTGAATGGGAACAAAAGTCAAGTGGAATTTTGTGGGCACATGTATGTAATGATGTGTCAGTGTTCATGCTTTTACTTACATGTGAGCACATATTCATTTTTCTATAAATTTCTATTAGAAGTTATTTGCTATTTAATGCAATGTGCAATAAATGCATTTAATATTTCTGGAAAACATTTCATCAGTGTACAATTTAACATGAAAAATCTTACTTGCCTCATTGAATGATTTGTTTTCCTCTTGTTCTCAATACTTCTTCAAAATTTCTGATTGTTTGGCTGTATTGTAATGGTTCTCCTCCTCTGTTGGTAGAACTGTGGTGAAATGTAGTATTGCCAAGTCCCAGGCCCTCTACAGTGCCCAGAGGGGACTGAAGACAAACAATGCAGCTGTGTTCAAAGTAGGTGCCATCAGCATCAACATTCCTCAGCACCCTGCCACCTTGCACAGCATGATGGTTCGGAGTTCTCACCAGCTCTCCAAGCAAATCTCAGAYCTTATCAGACAGCCTTCTACAGTGTGAGTGACCCCACCGTTCCCGTTCGATGATTCTGTGTGATACCTCAGGATTTTCTTTGCCTGTTAACAGAAGTTTGAGAAGATGAAGATACTTCTAAGTATTGATCATGTGAACAGTAGGGCAGGTAGAGAGTAGTGAGACGTGATCATGGATGAGTCATGTTGGGTGTCATCAAGTACTGCTTCAGAAATATAGGTGCCCGTGTTCTATGTTGCATTACGAAGCTGAAGAGAGCCTAGGGGTCTGCGGGTATCCAGAGGGGTACCATCAATCCTTGTTTGCTTTGGATTCATTGAAATTAAGAGATTGCAGTGGTCATTTATGTCCCATGCATGGTTTTGTGCTGTCCGTTACATGAAATTGTCCTTTGTATTTTCATATGTGAAATTATTGTCCCTCACATGAATTATTTAAGACTGCATTTAATGCCACATAAATATTTAAAAGACAGCAAATCTGACCTTTGCACATTAACTTCTTTCCCTGTGCCTGTAGCCATTATTTATGGCATATGCATTGCTGAGCTTTATTCTTGGTCTCTAAAAGTTGTAACTAATAGAAATATATGTAAAATGAAGACAACATGTCTCATTATGTCTCTCTTCTCCATCCTGTGAAGAGGGAAGACATTAGCATGTCTTTTGGTGGTATCCTGGAGCAATAATTTTTTTTCCAGTTTTCTCTAGCTCTTTAATTCTCAACATAGTAATAAGTTACAGCTGAAGTTGATCAAGTAGTGAGAATTTAAATACATTTCTTCCATGAATGGAACATGGAATCCAGAATGTGTTCATGTATTTTAGTTTTAAAATACTCAAAGTGATTTTTCCGTGTTATGATGTATTGTCAGTAGGGGATAATAGTTGAAAGGTCTGTATCCAAACTGATTGGGTTCAAATCCTAGCTTTACCACTTCTAGTTCTGCCTTTTCATTTGTAAAGTATAGGTAGTAGTAGTACCTGCTCAAGGATTTTTGTAAGATAAAACTCAAAAAACTCTAAGAGCAATATCTGACACTCAAATAATTACTGTTATTGTTGGTGGTATTATCATTGGAATGGTAGTGCTACTAGTGGCAGCATATTAACAGAATTGCATTAGTAATGGTAAATGGGTAATAGAAACGCAGTGGGGTAAGTCATAGAATTTGGAATCAGAGAAATCTTGAGTTTAAATTCCAGTTTTGCATTAATGATAGGAGTCACCTCAGAAGTGAAGTACAGCATTTCAGGAGTCACTGTTGTTATTGCCTTTTGTCTGCTTTCCAGATCATAGTTGTTCAAGGCTGTTTTTCAGTAAGAATTCCAATGATTTTATATAGTAAAATAGTAGCTGTTAATTTTGAGTTTTGAWCAATTGTTTTCTTCTTGGTTTATAGCCAACAGCCTATGAAAGAAGATATTGCAACTCCACTGCCCTCTGAAAAAACCCCAACAAGTGTTAATCAAACTCCTGTTGAGACAAATGAATTTCCTCAGCTCCCAGAAGGCTTGGAGAAGAAGCCTATTGTTCTTAAATTCAGTGCCATGTTAGATGGCATAGCCATCGGAGCAGCACTGTTACCGTCTCTGAAAGCAGAGTATAAGATGGGAAGAATGAGAAGTCATGGGATGACAGGTATCACTGAATTCTCAATTCAGCTGCTGAAAATTTATGAAGTTTTGAGAAATTAGTAATAATATCTTGACAGAAAGGAAACTTTGGTKTTATAAATGTTATATAAAAATGTCAAAAGATTGAACCACAGCACTTGGATTTTATTAATGATATTCTTTAGTCAGGGAAAAAAAAAAAAAACCGCCAAGAGCTTTCCGTTAGGCAGAGGTTCTGTTTGCAGGTGATACTCTTCATTACTTCTCTCTGCCTTTTATGTCTTTTATGTCCTTTTCTTGCCTTATTTTTTGTTAGTCTTATTCCCATTGTTTGAGGAAACCAGCATTTCACCAGTGAGTTCCTATTTGCTGTGCATGTTTGCTAGATTTGCTCCATCAGATAAAGAAAATGTGCTCCATCCCCTAGTGTGCTGAGTGTCTCTGAAGAATAATTGGTGAATTTAAATATTCTGTTCACACAATAAATTAATTTTTTAAAGCACAAATACATACATATGTGAATACATGCATTTAGAAAAGTGTGTGCATGCATACCCCTAGCATTTCAAGCTTTGGTTGTTAAGAGGAGTTTTCCTAAAACCAATTAGACCTTCATATTTTCAGAAACAGAAGCACTGTAAAGTGAGTTTCCAGATTTGGTAGAGTCAGAAGTCTTAGGCTTTCAATTATTGAAGGCCATTAATAACTGGTAGTCAGACTTGTTTTCATCATTTATTTGAATCAACCATGAAATACGAGAAGCAAGTCAGGAATCAGATAGGGCAGTTTACAACTAGAAAAATGGAAATATTTTAAGAGCAAAGTGATGTATTGTCAAATATTCAGACAGGTAAGAAGTCCAGATTCTTTTGAGATGGAATAGGAGGACAAAAGCAGTAGCAGAGCATGTGCACTAGTGGTGGATRGGCCATGGMTGCAGCCTGAGCTGCTCCACATCTTCATCCAACTGTGTGAGCAAGGGAGGTGGTTGGTGTGGATGGTCCCCCTCCTGCAGCTGGCAGGTGAGAAGTCAGGAGTGTGCCTGGCTGCAGTGCTGAGCGGGAGGAGGTCAGGGCCATCCCAGGTGCTGCTGGGGTGAGTGAGCGCTTTCCTGCTTACGGCTCTTTCCACCTGTAAACATTGTGGTGTGGGTAGTGACTGTAGTGGATGTGGCCTGTGATGTAGCGGATGTGCTCAGGGGAGAGCACTAGGTGTCTGTGTGGGTCACATGGGCTGTGTGGTAATGTCTGAGTGGGGATTGTGCTGGTCTGCAGGAGTGCACACATGTAAACACGTCATACACTGAATGGGCAGTAGCAAGTCTCAATTGTGGTAGGCTTCTGCTGCCCTTATAGACCTCCAGGGCAGTTAGGGACATGCAGGCTGAGTAATGGTCGAAGTAACATTTCTATATTTATTTATCAACCATAGTTGATTTAAAGTTTAAGGCAACAGTAAATGAAAATTCATATCATATCCTTATTTCTTAAGGTCAAAGATACATGTATTTGTACTTGAAACTCTATGAATGTTCTCAGAGTTTAGTTTAGTTTAACTGGTTTTGGTTTTTGATAGTTTTCACTACTTTCCACACTTACTCAGGATTAGGAGACACGTTGTCGACTGCTAATGTTGTCTGTGAATGAAGAAGCATTGTGGGGATGTGGGTTTGGTTTTTTTTTTTTTTTTTTTTTTTTTTTCCCTTTAAGGAAAATGGACTAGTTTCTCTCATTATAACTCCTCTGTGCTCTGTGATAGGGTTCTGGCCTTCTCTGATATAAAGAACATTTATAGATGTTTCTCTGGTACCTGATATCACATTGGGCACCTAAAAGGCTTAATACTACTTGCTGATTGACTCTGTAGAAACCATACATATGTTTAAAGATAAGGGAGTATTTTATGAGCAAACTTAAAATATCTTTTTATATATTTCAAGGACTATGAAAGGTCCTTACATTTTTCTTAGAAATCGCTTTTGCAAAGGCGAGGAGTTGGTGAGCCAGTGAGCACCTGCACAAACAAGAACTTTTCTTATTTCTTTTAGGTGCACAGACAAGGTTTACATTTGAGCTGCCAAATCACAGATTGCGTTTTACTTCAAAAGTKTCAGCCACAGATATGTCAACCATTCCTCCTTCTGCCAGTCTTAACCTTCCTCCTGTTACTATGTCAGGGAAGTACATAATGGAAGAACATGACAGCTACTCTGATCAGGTGTGGAGTATAGATGAACTGCCTTCTAAACAAGGGTACTACTTACAGGGAAATTATCTACGTTGTGTGGCAGAAGTAAGTTTGCTTTTAAATTTTATTATTGTTTGTAATTTGCAAGTTCAAGATTTAGATATACCAAAATATGTGTTGATCCAACTTTTAAGGTTGCAAACCTTAAGGTTAAGCATGAAATCATTTGTTCCCACAGAAGCCTTCTCCATGAAATTATGGGTAGAGGCATGTCTGTCTATGTCTTGTTTTTTTTCTCTTTCCCTGTAGTTTAATTGAAACATGCTTTTTAAAACATACTAGTCATCTTTGAATTTTACATTTCTTACATTGAGTTTAATGTCAATCTTGGCATTATTTTCATGGCATATTTGCTTCTTGAAGGCAAATTAGCAGCTATTATTCAAGAGATTTTATATCTATTGACTTTTGTAGTCCTTAAATCAACCCTGTAAGGTAGATATATTTGTTCTAATTTTGCAAGTTAGGAAACGGAACTTTAATGAGGGTACACGATTCACATGAATATATGTGATTATTAGTGATAAAGAGTCCTAGAGAAAGATTTACTAAGCTCATATAAAAGATGGCATCCCTGATTACATCATCATCATCCTCATTTTTGCTTGTATCTGTAYAAGCAAAAGTTTCAGAAGCACTTGGATGTGTCTTTCATCTGATTAAAAATTCTATAAGAAAGCTGTTTGGATTCTTTGATAGAAATATTAGTCTTAGGTATTAATATTGATGTATCGTCTTTAGACTCTACTTGTCTTAGCCCAGAGCAATTAAGCTTTCTGTAATTCCTCACTTAAAAGTGCCAAATCTATTGGGCTAGGGATATAGCTCAATTGATATAGTGCTTGCCTCGCATGCATAAGGCCCTGGGTTCAATCCCCAGCATCACCAAAAACACAAAACAAAAAACGTAGTGCCAAATCTATTTTGCTCTTTTAATTTTTGATCAAAATATTCGGCCTATCAAGAGTGACAAATGATAAAACATTTTTCTTAATCATAAAGATGTTTAAAACTCTTTCCTATAATACTCAACTTCAATTATGGGCTGCTTTCTATTTAATCTGTTAATTAGCTAATTCCTGCCAGTAGTTAAATGCCTTGTACTAATTATAGGGCACAACTTAATTCTGGCATCTCCAGTTTGCTAATTCACTCAAGTATAATCCTGAGACGCAGAATTTTCATTATTGTATCCTTAGCATTTAATGTGGTACACGGAATAGACAGTCAATACATCACTGTATGAATAAATAAATTTATTTACAATGATGCTTGTCTGTGGTTCTAAGATCACAAAAATGAATCATTAAAAATCTTCCTCTAGGCAAAATTTTAATTTTGAAAAAGTTATATATAGTTAGAATATTTTTTGTTTTCAAAATATTTCTTGCACCTTAATTACTGGTTTAAAAAAAAAATAACATTTTGGGAGTGGCCCATATCAGTGTTAGGCCAATAAAGTATTAGAAACTCTGAATATTTTAAATCTTTCTTCAATATATTGATCTCAAATAGTATGTATTTAATCATCTCTTGTAAGTTTTGGATGATGTTTTAAGAAAAGGTGTAGACTAAGATGGTATTGTTAGTCTATTGTTAATCTGATATCCTGGTTCTGTTTGGCAGGTTGGTTCCTTTGAACATAATCTCACAACTGATCTTCTGAACCACTTGGTGTTTGTACAGAAAGTGTTCATGAAGGAAGTCAATGAAGTAATACAAAAAGTTTCTGGTAAGATGATCTAGTATCCTCTAGTATAGATGCAGGTTTGAAATAAAACTTGATTGGCAGTGAAAGGAAAGTGACCATGATCCTCGGAGCAACCAAGAGATCTTTATTGTGGTGGTATCTGATCAACAGGGAAGGGAAAGAGAAAGAAAGAGAGAGAGAGAGAGAAGGAGAGAGGGAAGGGTGTAGAGCAAAGCGCAAGAGAGAGAAAGTGAGAAAAGAAAGAGAGTTCTAGCAGGAGAGAGTTTTTATAGCCAAAATCTAATGGGGTCTCTGGGTCTGCAAGCTGCCTTATTGGTGTGCAGTGATTGGATCATACAATGGTTGCTAAAAGTGTCATCTTCTGCCCTTAGGCACATGGGGCAGGGGTCAGATGTGGGTCTCCATTGCACCAGACAGGTAGGGGTTGAGAGTCCAGCCTTGAGTGGGGTTGAGTATTCAGCCTTGAGGCAAACACGTGATAAGGAACCAGATGGATGGGGGTCCAGTGTTCAGCCCACCCTGAAGCTAACATTTGTTCAGCCTGCTCCGCAACTAACAGGCAGAACAGGAGCAAAATTAGRTAGATCCATCAATTGATTGTAAAAGCAGATTTTCTTTGGAATTTTATTCTTACTACTTACATAGGGAAAGTACCAGTTATTCTTTATTTCATTGAGCAAACAAAAAACAGCCAGTTTTCAAAGTAAGCGCCTGTGGTGCTTGATCGCATGTTGTATGTTTGCTGCACCTCATGATTATATCAACCTGAGCAGGCCCTGTCTGCAGAGCCACTGGAGAAGCTGAGAACTTTCCTGGCTGGTATCACCTGTTTGTTGAACAGTGTTTAGTAGCAATGTTCTTAAAAATCCTCAAAATTTAGTTATTATTCTGTTTATAAAATTTAGTTATTATTCTGTTTACTATTTTTCTCTCATGACTTAATTCATTATATAATTCCAAGTGGAAATTTTGACCCTGTATAAATTATCTTGTGTCTGTGTGTGTGTGCGGGGGGGTGGTGGTGCTGGAGATAGAAYACAGGGCCTTGTGCATGTGAAGCATGCACTCTTCCAACTGAGCTACACCCCCAGCCCAAATTATCTTGACAAATTACATCTAAGAGAGACAGTTAACTGATTCAGTAGTTACTTACTCAAACCTTGAAAAACTTATGGCCCCAAGCAAGATGATGAGGAAGTTACAAATGTGGATAATACATTTAGCAGGCTTTAGGGAACTTGTACCTTGTTGGGAAGATTAGATGTTTTTACATGTGCTAATACAAAGTGTGAATGAACGAGAGAGAAAGTGTTAAAGGTATGAAGGGGAAAGAACACTTCATGGAAGAGGGCTTATCATTGAGGCCCTAATGGTGAAGGAATGATTTGAACTGAGGTTTGAGTATGTTTTACTTTTGATAGTTGAGTACATTTCAAAAGAAAATGAGACCGTGAAGAAAAATTGCAAGAAACTGGGAGAGAATGATATATTTATTTGCTGGCTTAAGAAAAGAATTGTGGGAGTATKAAGAAAATTGTGAAGACATGCCACTAGTTGTGAGGAGTGTTGGAGAAAAGACAGAAAGTRGAGAGTTGGATCAACAAGCAGCACTGGTGTCTAACTGTGTTGAGGAAAAAGACTGAGGGTCCATTCAGTTACTGCTTGCTGGAATYTGAAGATAGATGGTCCCTGCACTGAGGAACTTAGTCCAGTTGATGAGGTAACAGGTAGAACAGAAGTGTGAGTTTTTGAGACATGTCACATGAGAACGGATGCATCACGGAGGCTTTGAATGAGCTGATATGCAACAAGGGACTATGAAGAGCACTTGGCACATGATAAGCGCTCAGATCAACTCACTCTGTCTAGGTGGCAGGGTTGGTGGAGGTATGTGCTTAGTTGAGAAGGCAGATAGGAGTGAATTGCCAAAATCATTATAGAAAAGGGAGTTCAGGGAACAGTGACCGGGTGGGTTGTCATTTAGAATTCAGTGGAAAGCTGAGCCTCAGGATTTAGTGTTTAGAGAAAAGCAATGGAAAGTAAACACCATCCGCTGAAATGAGGGAGTGCAAGATTTCCGAATGATGTGGCAATAGGAAGAGGCACATTTGAATGAAATGAGGGAGTGAGACATGGTAAGCCCAGCCTGTCTACSCATTCTCCCAAGATACAGATGTATTTTTTCCTTGTAGATAAAAGTAACCCAAACCTTTAGTTTCTTAATCTCTCTTAGGTGGGGAGCAGCCTATTCCTCTCTGGAACGAACATGATGGAGCAGCAGATGGAGATAAGCCTAAAATTCTCCTCTATTCTCTGAACTTGCAGTTTAAGGTAAATTTAAATTATAGTGGTACTTTTAGAAGTGCTGTATTACTTAATATATGCTTTTCACAAAAATTTATTTAATACGTAAATTATCAAATTGAAAATAAAATAAACCATATAATAATAATAATAATAATAATAATAATATTAACTCAGAAAAAGGGTTTAATGATTGTTTGAATATTCTCTAGGACTTTTTCCTGCTGTTTTTTTTTGTTTTGTTTTGTTTTTTGCAGTGCTAGGGATTGAACTCGGGGCCTCTCACATGCTAAGCAAGCATTCTACCACTGCGCTCTATCCTCACTCCCTCTATTAGTATTTTTATATATGTACATATTTATCTATTTTTAAAAACTTTGGGTATCTATCCATAATAGAATTTTTAGATCAACTTTATCTTCCTGAACAGCTGTATTATTTGTTCTACAGTTGTAACTAACTTAATTACCCTCTTCTGATCAACATTTGATTTTTCTAGTTTATGTAGTTGTAATTTATTCTCCAAGAGATAGTCTGTATAGTTATTCAATTAACAGTAATACTGTAGGGATAGAATGCATTCCGACCATGCATGAGGTCAAGGGTTCAGTCCCCTACATAGGGGAGGAAAAAAGACTTTAATTGGAACCCTAATATTTCCAACGGTTAAAATATTAGTATTCTTAAAAATTATTCTTACCAAATAGTTATTTAATTTTAATATATTAWTGAACTCTCTAAATTTTAAATAGAAAATACTATAATGAAATTTAATAACTCAAAAAATCTTACTGACGTGAGAAATTAAGGAATGTTGCTGGAGGTGGGGCAAGAAGATCTCGAGTTAACAGCCATCCTTAGCAATGGTGAGGCACTAAGCAACTCAGTGAGACTCTGTCTCTAAATAAAGTAYAAAATAGGGCTGGGGATGGCTCAGTGGTCAAATGCCTCTGAGTTTAATCCCTGGTACCAAAAAATAAAAATAAAACAACAAAAAAAGAATGTTGCTGGCTTATCAGCTCCTTGGACAAATCCTGTACATATTTTTAGAACACCACTGTTTTATCTATCAGATATTGAAAGACTGCATTTGAGTGAGTCTACTACATTATTGATTTAAGATTCTTTTCCCTYTGCCCCATAACATATAATCTTCTAGGGTATCCAAGTAACAGCCACAACTCCATCAATGAGAGCTGTGAGATTCGAAACTGGACTGATTGAACTGGAGCTATCTAACCGACTTCAAACTAAAGCTTCACCGGGAAGTAGTAGCTATCTGAAATTGTTTGGTAAATGTCAAGTGGATTTAAATCTGGCATTAGGACAAATTGTCAAACATCAGGTGCGTACATATTATTGGTATTAGTGCTGTGGCCTTGTGAGTTTTGCATATCAGTTGGGACTACTTTAACTTATGTATGACTGTATTTATAAAGATATTTAGATAATTCTCTACAATTTCTGATTGTAAATTCTAATGAAGGCTTTCTTATTTTTTAACTCATTTTAAAGGCCTACAATTTTTCTGTGGTGTTTCATCAAGTATTGTGGAAAGTATATTGCTGCAAGTGTAGTCACATGAAATTGAATCTTAGTATCTTCATACATATTTCTCTCTTTTTTAGTTTGTTAAACATTTTTTATTTCAATGTTTGTTATAAAATTAGTACCTCAGTGTTTGCAAGTTTATAGTTTACCCTGAGAATATTTTTACATATAGTAATGTTGGATAGGAAAATTATTTTTAAAAGATCAGTTACTCAGATTTTTTATTTGATGAAAATTGCTTTGATGCTTATTGGAGATATTTTTAGATTTGTTTTCTTTTTGCTGAAAATTATGTCCGTTTTAACCATTTTCCACCTCTTTGATTTGAATGACCAATTAAAAAATGCCAAACCATTTTCCACCTCTTTGATTTGAATGACCAATTAAAAAATGCCAAMCACAGTTTGAAAATTGAATGGCTACATTCAAGATTATGTGGAGGAAAAAATGAACAGAAACATTTTGTTTCTAGAAAAACATTTTTTCAAATGGAAATATGTTTTGGGAGCAAGAGTGTCTGATTATTTTGAGACATTTAATATATGCTATTTGGAGTATGAACCTCATCCTAGCTTTTGTATGAACTTCATGACTTTGTATTTGCTTTTGCTTTTTCCTTGCAGTGTTAACCCAGGGCCTTATGCATGCTGGTCAAGTGCTCTACCACTGAGCCATACCCCCAGCCTAATTACCTCCTGTGTGGCTATTCATGCTATGTCTTAATTTCACAAGCATTCAAATATACCAAATATAAGGACTGTATCATTGATGAAATTGAGAAAAATGTACTATAAGTTCTTTTGAGGCACAATATCAATAATGATGTTTAGTTTTATTAAAACATTTTTAATTATTTGATTTTACTGAGCTTTAAATTTGTTTTAGGTTTATGAGGAAGCTGGTTCTGATTTTCATCAAGTTGCCTATTTTAAAACTAGAATTGGATTAAGGAATGCCCTTCGAGAAGAAATCAGTGGTTCTTCAGATAGAGAAGCCGTGCTCATTACTTTGAACAGACCAATTGTTTATGCCCAACCTGTGGCCTTTGATAGAGGTGAGATTGAGTTAGTGATTGCTATCATAGAAATATTTTGATGATGCTCAATAAAAATGATCTGTGTGAGCTAGGGGTGTGGCTCAGTGGTAGAGCGCTCGCCTAGCATGTGTGAGGCAGTGGGTTCAATTCTGAACACCACGTATAAATAAACGAATAAAATAAAGGTCCATCAGCATCTTAAAAAACTCCTTCAGCCTTTATTCATTTATAATCTGAATTGCAAAGGACTTCCCTGAAGCATTCTGATATGCTTCAGAACAGTGATAARTTGACACCCATCTAATAATTCTAAATTTCTACTTTTACAGTTTTTAGAATCTTTTTTTAGCAAAGAAATTTTTTAGACTTGTTTATCAAATGGAAACAAAGGAAATTTAAAAATATTATTTAATGTGATGAACATTATTATCCAAAGAATATAAATGAAGACATGAATTGGTGTGAATATACTTTGTGTATTCACATATACATACCCATAATAGAGCAGAAAATTCCAAAATGCTTCTAAACTGTGTAATGTTTAATGGTAATCCATTTCTCCCCCTTTTTTTTCCTCTTTCCCCTCACTTCCTCTTATGTGTAATTTTGTATAACAATGAGGGTCTCCTTCCATTTGCATGCAGTTTCCCTTCTCTCTCCCTTTCCCTCCCACCTCTCGTCTCTGTTTAATGTTAATCTTCTTCTCATGCTCTTCCTCCCTGCTCTGTTCTTAGTTGTTCTTCTTATAGCAAAGAAGACATTTGGCATTTGTTTTTTAGGGATTGGCTGGCTTCACTTAGCATAGGGTAGAGAGAGAAGATGGGAGGGGAGGGGAGGGAGGGGTGATAGTAGAGGATAGGAAAGGGGGCAGAACACATCAGACACTAGTATGGCAGTATGCAAAACAGTGGATGTGTAACTGATGTGATTCTGCAATTTGTATACGGGGTAAAAATGGGAGTTCATAACCCACTTGAATTAAATGTATGGAATATGATATGTCAAGAACTATGTAATGTTTTGAACAACCAATAATAAAAATTTTAAAAAATGGTAATGAAACTTCCAAGTTATATGTAATCAAATAAAGGTATTATGTCCATCTACAACTAAAAACAAGCTTTAAAAAATCATCTGTGATTTACCAATGTGAATGCTCAACAGCTAAATGTCTCCTAATTCTGAAAGGTGAACATCCAAAAATAACTYCTTGCCTTTATGCTTCAGTTTTTAATTTATTTTACATTTTAAAGTTTTTTTGCTTTATATGGATAAATAGAAGTGTCTGATTTCTGAAATTTAATACTAAAATTTTTAGTATAGATAAATAATACACTCACATGTTTTGGCACTGTATTTACTCATTTATTCTGTCTACATTTAGACAATAGGATCCCTGCCCTCAAGGAACCTAGTTCAGTGGAAAGTCGAGACCAAAGTGGACACAATTGGAGTTAGAGATGGCATGTTCTAAGGTGTGAGGAAGTCTCCCTGTGGTGCTTAGAGAAGAAACAGGTTCTTCACTAATTTTAAAGCTATAGTTTTCTGGGAGTGATTTTTTATTATTCAGTAGGATTGTGCAACTGTTGAGGTTTACTTACCATAGTAAACCTTTACCAGCACTGATCTAACTTTTCTTTCTGCCTCCCCTTAATTCTTGAAAGCTGTGCTRTTCCAGGCCAACAAGGAGAGGAAAGCTGCTCTTGAGTGCCTTTGTGTCCCAGGGCTTAGCAGGGTTCCTGGCATATTGTAAGAACAAGCGTACGTTTGCCAGAAGAGAATATGAATAAATGTATCTGAGCACTGGGGTCTAGGAAAATAGTGCATTGATTTTCTTAATCAAAAATAATGGGAAAGAAGGCTGAACAGGTAGTCTCTCACTAGTGTGGATTTGGCAAGTATGTTTAATGTGTTTAACAGGCAATGAGCCATTTGTGAAGCCAAGTAAGATTTCATTCAGTAGTAGCCTTCTTAGACTGGTGCTGAGATGTTTGTTAGGGAATTGCCCTTTTGACAGTGTTAGGATGACATTCTGTTTTGGTAAATCCTATGCATGTTTTTCATGTCACATTTCACCAGGCTTTTGTCAGTTTTCACCAACAACTCAAAGTCCTTTCTATGCTTGGTGTCTGTGGCACAGTTCTTCCTTTTCCTCCTGCTTCTCTGGCCCCTCCATTTTTATTATCTTTTTAGACTTCTCCTTCTATATGGTGCCATGAAATGAAGAATTTTCTTAAGATCTCTTGTTAACAAACTTAAACTGTCTTTGACTTCTCTCTCTAAATTAAATTATTTTAATGTGTATTCCCAGCATTATGTGCCTCTGTTTTTAGTGAGTGTTTAAAAGTTGTAACAGTAAGCCCTGTAGATGAGTTCAAGGACCATGTCTGTTTCTACCTGTTATTCCACCCAGGGCCTGGCATGTAAGGGGCAGTATACAAATCTAGAGCAAATGAATGGACCTGGATTTTCTTCTTTCTACTGCCATTATACAACTGCTTGCTTTCTGCTTCGTTTTTTCATTGGATATGTTAAAAATTGTTGACGTATCCTCTTAGGTTCTTTCTAATTTTAAAGCTATAGTTTTCTGAGAGTGATTTTTATTATTCAGTAGGATTGTGCAACTGTTAAGGTTTACTTACCATAGTAAACCTTTACCAGCACTGATCTAACTTTTCTTTCTGCTTTCCCTTAATTCTTGAAAGCTGTGCTGTTTTGGCTGAATTATAAGGCTGCCTATGACAACTGGAATGAACAGCGAATGGCCTTGCACAAGGACATTCACATGGCCACAAAGGAAGTGGTAGACATGCTGCCTGGTATTCAGCAAACATCAGCCCAGGCCTTTGGCACTCTCTTTCTCCAGCTGACTGTGAATGACCTGGGAATTTGCCTGCCTATCACCAACACTGCTCAGGTACAAGGAGTCAGGTCATGTTCCTTTTATTCAGGACTAAAATCCAGGCATTTCAACTAACCATTTCTAAGAGTACTGAGTAAAGCAGTATCTTTTTAATGGAGAACAGTCTGCAGCTTGAGTTTAATGGTCATCAAGTAAGTCTGAACTCCTTCAGCCTTTATTCATTTGTACTCTGAATTACAAAGGACTTCCCTGAAGGACTCGGATATGCTTCAGAATAGTGATTAATTGACACCCATCTAATAATTCTAAATTTTCACTTTTATAAATAGTTTTTAGAATCTTTTTTTGTTGTTTTTTTTTTTTTTTAGCAAAGGAATTTTCTAGACTTGTTTATAAAATGGAAACAAAGGAAATTTAAAAATATTATTTAATGTGATAAATATTATTATCCAAAGTATATGAATGAAGACATGAATTGGTGTGAATATACTTTGTGTATTCACATATACATACCCATAATAGAGCAGAAAATTCCAAAATGCTTCTAAACTGTATAATGTTTAATGGTAATGAAACTTCCAAGWTATATGTATATATGGATAAAGCAGGGATATTCTTTTTGTAATTTTAGGACTAAGTCTCAGAAATACATTCATGTGTATGAATGGGAAAAGGCTCTGAGCACCTGTCAGGCAGGAAGTAACAGTTATAACCATCAAATCTATATTTACTATGATAATTTAATTTACTTTAAATAACTTATGACCAGTGTTGGATGAATGTATCTTTTAGAATTCTGTTTGGCCAATAGTGTTAAGAAAAACTTTGGACTAAAGATGGGTAACATTGACATGTTGTGTTTAGGAGCTGTAATGTAATCACTTTTTAAGTGGTTTTAATTAGTGCATAATAGTTATACATAATATTGAGGTTCATTTTGACATAACAAGCATGAAATATAATTTGCTCTAATTCAGTCCCCAGTGCTTCCCCTTTTCCTTTCCTCCTTCCTCCCCTGTTCCCCTTCCTCTGCTACTGATCTTTCTCCCATTTATTTATAGTTTATTTTTTAAATTAGTGCATTATAGACATCCATGAAGGTGAAATTCGCTGTGGTGTGTTCATGTGTGTGCATAGGATAGCTTGGTCAGTTTCATGCCAGCATTCCTCCCTTTTCCTGTCCCTCCTCCCTCCTGCTCAGTCCCCTCCTCTACTCCTCTGATTGTTCCTCTGTTTTCACTGGGTCCCCAACCCTCGCTTTTTCTTATTTTTCAAAGAAAGAAAGGAGTTACCCATCTTTGAGAGAAAACATTGGACCCTGGACTTTCCGGGTCTGACTTATGAAATACGGTAGTTTTTTAAACGGCATGAGGGACAGAAGAGCTCAGGCTGTACACACCAGGAGTGGGTGTAAAAGAGTGCTCCCAACAAATAAAAGAGCGGCCACGTATATATATTAGAACTTTGCACATTAAAAGAAAAAACAAACATGGCAGATGCATTTCCATCCATCAATTATTAATTTAATTTGTTTTTTTAAATTCGTTTTTAAAAATTTATATATCACAGCAGAATGCATTACAGTTCTTATTACACATATAGAGCACAAGTTTTCATCTCTCTGTATATAAAGTATGTTGTCACCAATTCATGTCTTCATACATGTACTTTAGATAATGATGTCCATCACATTCCGCCATCATWGCTAACCCCCTACCCCCTCCCTTCCCCTCCCACTTCTCTGCCCTATCTAGAGTTCGTCTATTCCTCCCATGCTCCCTCTCCCTACCCCACAATGAGTCAGCCTCTTTATATCAGAGAAAACATTCGGCATTTGTTTTTTTGGGATTGGCTAACTTTACTTAGCATTATCTTCTCCAACTCCATCCATTTACCTGCAACTACCATAATTTTATTCTCTTTTATTGACTGGGAATTGAAGGGGGGGGCATTTTACCACTTCGCTAAATCCCCAACTCTTTTATTTTTCTATGTTCTCAATAAGCTGCTGAGGGTCTGAGTTGCTGATTCTGGCCTCAAACTTGCAGTTCTCCCTTCTTGGTCTTCTGGGTCACGGGGATCTCTGGCATAGGCCACTATATCTGGCAGTAACAATTTAATTTTTGGAAGTTATCTTTATAGGATGCTTTATAATAAGTGTTTCTAGACTTGACTCTTTCTAGATTTTCATCTATATTATTATTTTTTCATTTTAAAAATAAGTTTTACTGAGTATTAAGTGGTATAATATTATTGAACACATTTAATAATTCTATTTTATATATCTGTTTATGTGTAACAGACAATATATGTGCAATTAAGTTTATAATAAGTTAATTTCATGCAATAACATTACATTTTAAGTGAATCAAACAATTTATGTACTGAAAATCAAAGCACGTTGCAGTGAGCTCTTTTCTAGATATACAAAGGAGTGAAAAGTGACTGATTTCAATGCAAAGGTTGGAAGTAGATTTTGTCAATTAAAGGGGGTAGGACTTGGGCAATTAACTGAGCTCTCTATGCCTTTTTTTTTTTAAGGCTTTCAGATATTTCCCCCTGGGGGTTTACTTTTTTAAAAAGTTATTAATTAATCAATTAAATTAAGCATATATGAGAAYGGAATGCATTTTGATTCATTGTACACAATTGCAGCATAACTTTTCACTTCTCTGGTTGTACACCATGTAATGTCGCACCATATGTGCAGTCATACATGTACCTAGGGTAATGATGTCCATCTCATTCCACCATTTTTCCTGCCCCCATGCACCCTCCCCACCCTTAGCTCCCCTTTGCCCAATTAGTTTCTCCATCSCCCCTCCCGATCAGGGATCATCATTTACTTATCAGAGAGAACATTCAGCTTTTGGTTTTTTTGGGATTGGCTCACTTCACTTAGCATGATATTCTCCAGCTCCATCCATTTACCTGCAAATGCCATAATTTTTGTTCTCTTTTAATGTTGAGTAATATTCCATTGTGTATATACATGCATTCATCTATTGAAGGGCATCTAGGTTGTTTCCACAGTTTAGCTATTGTGAATTGAGCTGCTACAAACATTGATGTGGCTGCATTAACTATGGCATGCTGATTTTAAGTCCTTTGGGTGTAGACCAAGGAATGGGATAGCTGKGTCAAATGATGGTTCCATTCCAAGTTTTCTAAGCAGTCTCCATACTGCTTTCCATATTGACTGCACCAATTTGCAGTCCYRCCAACACTGTATGAGTGTGCCTTTTCCCCCACATCCTCACCAACACTTATTGTTGTTTGTGTTCTTATTAGCTGCCATTCCACTGGCGTGAGATGAAATCTTAGTTTTGATTTGCATTTCTATAATTGCTAGAGATGTTGAACATTTTGTCATATATTTGTTGATCGATTGTATATCTTCTTCTGAGAAGTGTCTGTTCAGTTTGTTAGCCCATTTATGGACTGGGTTTTTTTTTGTTTTTTTTTTTTTGTTATGTTGAGGGTTTTTGTTGTTGTTGTTGTTTGATTGATTGATTGTTTTACTTCTTTTTCTATCCTGGAAATTAGTGCTGTATCTGACATGCATGTGGCAAAAATTTGCTCCCAAAGTGTAGGCTCTCTATTCACCTCATTGATTGTTTCTTTTGCTGAGAGAAGCAGCTTTTTAGTTTGAGTCCATCCCATTTATTAATTCTGGATTTTATTTCTTGTGCTTTAGGAATCTTGTTAAGGAAGACGGAGCCTAATCTGAGGTGATAAAGATCTGAAGATTTCTGAATTTAAAAATCATCACCTTTGTCTTACTTTTTCTTGAATGTCTTTTGCAGTCTAATCACACTGGGGACCTGGACACTGGTTCGGCCTTAGTATTGACCATCGAAAGCACTCTCATCACTGCTTGCTCTTCAGAGTCCTTGGTTAGCAAAGGGCATTTCAAAAACTTCTGCCTTCGTTTTGCTGATGGCTTTGAGACATCGTGGGATGACTGGAAGCCAGAAATCCGTGGGGATCTGGTAATGAATGCCTGTGAGTGTCTTTCATATTCTATGTAAGGTTTAGAGTTTTAAAAAATAAAACAGAGTCTTTATTTTTTTTTAATAAAGAAATGTCTAAGTATAGAAATGGTTTTTGACTTTGTGAAATAAGGGCTATTTCTAATGAAAGGTGACAAAATGTATTTGTGAAAAGTAGTTGGGTAAATAAACCAACCTAGCATTCCTTTTGTGGTATGACATTTGAGTCTTCTGGTATCCATCCATGAATGCAGCCAAATAAAACCTCTTTGTTCCTTCGGAGTTTTGAAAGATAGTAATAGCTGTATGAGACCCAGCTCATAAAACACAGAGCAGGTTGTACATTTCCAAGACTAGGAGACCTTGATTCATATTGATGCGAATAAATCTGTACATCCAAATTTTTAGGAATATAGTGTGATATATGAATTTCTCCAATTCCATCATATTCCAGCTTTTGTATATAACTAGTGCTGTGTTGTAGGCTAGTTTGGAGTTATATCATTTATTTGTTGTCTATTTTAATATTTTAAATTATATTGCAGCAGAGTTAGTATAGCATCATTAGTCTTAATAATGAAAAAAATTACACTTGAGAAATTAGAGGACTGTGAATAAAATCCCCAGCCAATCTTGTAAGTCAGGCAGTACTTACTTTTTAGGTGATATGCCATCCTCATTTATGCTTTGGACTCCCGCATCTTTAACTGGTGGAAAATCTTTCCAGATCTGTATTTTTTTTTTTTTTTTTGAGGAATGGGGAAACGTCTCATTTTTATGCTAATAATTGCAGTTCTGCATTCAATATTGACTCAGACTTAGATAAAATCACAGGTGAAATTCTTGGTTTTGATGTGTAGGGAAAGAAAGTTATCTTTCCTTCTACCCATTTAGGTTTTCTGTTGAGCTCCTATAACAAAAGACAGACTAATGACAGAAAGCATAGAAATGTATTAATGTAAGTTCTATGCAACATGGGAGCCTTTATAAGGAAATGAAGACCCAAAGAAATGGCTAACCCTGAGTGTTCTTGTGGTAGATTGGATGAGCTCAGCTTGATAGACAGAGAGCTCAGCAGGRCCCCTGTGTGCACAGTCCTCTGTGTGTCCCTATCTTTGCCTCCAGAGATAAGAGCCTTCCTGCAGGGATAGGGAGGGACCTCCCCATGACTGCTGACCTGCTTTAGAGGAAAAGCAGAGCACTTCTGTATTGGCAGGTGCTCAGATCCCTTCAGCTTTGAGTAGTCAGTGTACACCGCTACCATATTTTGGGGTAGTATGTCCTGAATCACTTTAGRTATTTTGCATTTAGATAATTCATAGGTTAACCATGGAATTTTTTGGAAATACTTCAGGTTTCTAAGACTTGATACCAAATACTCATGCCTGTTATTAAAAAGACCAAAATAGCCTTCATCAGAAATCTTTACAGATTATCATTTTATAAATAGTTGTGGTTTTAAGAATCATTATAGCATATTTATGTCTTTTGTTTTGGGGGGGTTCTTACTAAAGGCAAAAAGGCAAAAATTAAACCTATCAATTTTTATTAAGGTATTATCTTTACCATCCTTGAATTAATTAAAATTAATATAGTGTATTTGGGAGAAAAGTAAAGGTACCATTTCCTTAATAGTTTGTCTGTGGGCTCAGTGGTAGTGCACTCGTCTAGCATGTTTGAGGCATTTGGTTTGATTCTCAGCACCACATAAAAATAAATAAATAAAATAAAGATAGTGTGTAGATCTACAACTAAAAAAATATTTAAAAATAGTTTTTCTTAAAGTGCTTAAGAAATATGAAATAAAAAGTATTTCTCAGGGGTGTGGTTGTAGCTCAGTGGTAGCATGCTTGCCTTGCACATGTGAGACATTTATGTTCCATCTTTAGCATCACATAACAATAAGTAAAATTGGGGCTGGGGATGTGGCTCAAGCGGTAGCGCGCTCGCCTGGCATGCGTGCGGCCTGGGTTCGATCCTCAGCACCACATACCAACAAAGATGTTGTGTCCGCCGAGAACTAAAAAAAAAAAATAATAAATATTAAAAATTCTCTCTCTCTCTCTCTCTCTCTCTCTCTCTCTCTCTCTCTCTCTCCTCTCTCACTCTCTCTTTAAAAAAAAAATAAGTAAAATAAAGCTATTATGTCCATCTACAACTAAAAGAATTTTTTTTAATATTCCTTAGACTCGGAATCAAATCATGTATTTAAAAAATGAATAAATAATATTCAGGGCCTCCATATATTTTTTGCCAACACTACAGAACACTAACATCCTGGGCATTGTAGTAGTATCATAGACTCGGTTTCAGAGTCTTTTTTAACCCGCTGTTGATCAGGTTTCTTGGGAGGATGTTAAAGGGGATAGTTGTGTTATTGACATATAAAAATTATAAATGATATTGGATAAGTTAGTTGATTAGTGTCTAGCTTTTATTGATAGTAAGTATATTTGGATATAACTTTCATTTAAAATTTTTGAAGAAAGATGAATATAGGACAAAGAAATAAGTAGTGATCACATTATGCCTTAGAATTTTTGTTTTTTACACAGGTTGTTTTAAAAACATGCTTTAGCAAAAAAAAAAAAAAAAAAAAAAAAGGTGATCCAGTAAAATTTGCTTTCTAGGTGATTTGGGGGGGGGGGGATCAACAAAAATAAAGACAATTTGTAAGAAGAGTTCCAAGCACCGTGTAAGTAGTTAGATTAGACCCATCTCATTGCCATGTATGTGGACCAGGTTGGGCAATTCCACCAGGAATTGCCATCCCAGGCGCAGTCACTGGCCCTTGTTAGCTTTGCGTCTCTGGCACAGAGAACCTGAGCATGAAGGGGACAAGCCTCACATTTTCTAGCCCTCTTCTTCAGGATTTTGTTCCTCAAAACTCCTGTTTAATTGAAACTCCTTATTAATAAGTTCACCATGGCTCTGTGTCCTGTGAATTTATACAATTTTTAAAAAAATAATCTGCCACTTCTTGGGATAGGACTTCCTAAAGTTTTCTATGCCCTTTTTTATTTACCTCTTCTTAATTTCATGTGGCCTCAGTTATGTTGTTAACATTTCAAAGGGTTTTGTTTTCATTCTAGCATTCTTGGATTTGAAAGGTTAATGTAAATTCTGATTTATACCTGTAGAATATAGAAGTAAATTAAGCAAATCTTTACCTGAAAGCCAAATCTAGGATTTTCTTAATGTAGAATTTGTGTGTGAGACACAGGTAGTATATGGTTCAAAAATATAGATTGTAAAGTTATTAGTAATATTTTTTAAAGACATAATATAAATTGTCATTTAATAATAAGTAGACCCTTTCTTACTAACTGAATTGTAGCATGAAAAAATTTAAGGAATGTCAAATTCAATACCAAASTTCATAGAAAACAAATGGCAAGTAAACACTTGAATTCCAATTTAGGATCCAAAAGGAGTCATAAGAGGACATTTCATTTTAGACTGTGTACTCTGAAGTTTAGATTGACATTCAGTTTCTAATAAGGATTACTAAGAAAGGCCTTAATTCTATCTTTAGAGTTTACTTTCTTAAAAAAATTTTCAAGCATAATRTGTCCTTTATGGTTGAAAACTGTTGAATCTATCCAACCTCTCTTTTAAGTTAACAGATTAAAGATAGGTGATAKTAAGTATTTCCTAGTTGGAATCAGTTATCTTCTAAGAGTAGCTCCATGACCTTGAGATTGGCATCATGGCAGTCATTTTCTCTCATAAAAAGAAGACAAACTGATGGATGATGTCTTTGACCTAATACAGGGGTTCTGCTGTTAAAAAGTCATGTTTAAACCGTTTGCATTCTGAAGGTACCATTGATTTATGCTGGCACAGATTGTCTTGGCATCCTGGATGTTGGTGGAAAGCCATCTAGACTCTCAGAGCCCACCACATGTTGTGACTCTGCGGAGGAAATCATGTGTAGCTGCAGGTCGGTTGTGGAATAGGTCTGCTGCRTCATTTCAGGAACCCTCCATCCCACAGATGAGGGACTGAACCCACAGGGCTCAGTCATTGGATATGCTGTTTAATCACAGGCTCATTTTTACTGAAAACTATTTTGGGGTCTTTTTGTAGGTGTAGTTCCAGATGGTACCTATGAAGTGTGCTCAAGGACCACAGGACAAGCAGCAGCTGGTAGGTTCATAATCAGTATTACTTTTGCTACATATGTCATGTAAAGTGTGTATGTTTTTATTTCTCTTTTCGTAAAGTTGGGCAGGGTGAACTTAAAGGTAGATGTTTATTTAAGGGCCCTTAAAATGTTGAAGAGGTGGAAACTGATGGGTTAGTAGCTTTGCCTTTTCTGCGTGCTATGTCCTGTTGTCCTCCCCAGCCTTAGCCTCAGTGCTGATCCTGAGTAAGTGACTTCAGAACTGGAAGTTAGGAACCTTCCAGTAGCACTCTCAGGAGGAAAGGGTGATCACAGAAGCGCACGCACTCACGCSCACACACATTTGTCAGGACTCGTAGCCACAAGTGACCACAGCCCACTCGAACTAGCTGAACCATGAGGGGAGCTTATCAAAAGGATATTTGCAGATTACAATTAAGTTTAGGAATTGCCATCTGCCATCTCAGGGAAGAGAATTAATGCAGACAATTCAAAGACCCTCAGAAACTGCTGGGACTTAGATCCAGCTGTCATATAGCTTGCTCTAGCTCTTGCTCTTGCTCTCTGGCTGCCTCATTTCTTTTTTATCATTTTTTTTTTTAACTGATAACCTCCATTCTCCACTCTCAGTCATTAGAGAGCTCAAGCTCAGAAAAGATTTTTCTTTTTCCAGCTTTGACATTTACCTAAACTAATTACCTATTAATTCTGTCTAATGAAGTAGGGTCATGACAGTCCCTGATATCACCATGGAAGGGCAGTTTAGGGGTAGAAGAGGACATCTGTACTTTTCAGGATCAAGGAGGATGCTCTACAGAGGAGACAGTAGGTGTGCACTTAGTACTGTACAGGTAATGGAAATTATGCATAAATAGCCTAATTTTTATGACAGATTTAGGTGAAAAATACTAGTTACAATATGTGGCCAGCATGTACTTTATTACTTACACATAGGATTATTTAAATTCCTGTAGTCAGTATTTCCATAAATGTCCCTTCTTCACCTGAACAGACAGCAGTAGTGCTGGGACCTGGACTCTCAACGTGCTGTGGAAGATGTGTGGGATCGATGTCCACATGGACCCTAACATYGGCAAGAGGCTCAATGCCCTGGGCAACACCCTCACAACACTGACTGGTGAGGAGGACATCGATGACATTGCTGACCTGAATTCAGTGAACATAGCTGACCTGTCTGATGAGGATGAAGTCGATACCATGTCTCCCACTATCCACACTGTAAGTGAATTCCTTGTTGGGAATTGCAGGAGTGGCTTTTACATGACACAGGGATATAATTAGCTCAATGTTATTTATATCATCGTTGCTATTTATGGAGGAAGAGAAGGGAGTGGTGGTGCCCTGCGTCTCTGTTTCATAATGTTGCCCTTTGAGTTCTGCGTTTCATGATGACTTGTCATCCAGCTGTGCCTCACCTGCAGGAGTGTAATGACTGTAAAGTGAAGTGCAGRCAAGTCTCTAGAGACAGCCAGGAGATGGGTGGGTGTTTAGGCTCTCTGGCTGCCTCATGTGAAGAGATGCTCATAGACATCGTGGGGTTTTTTGGTGATGAAAATGTTCCCAGCCAAGAGAGTGATAATGATCACACAATTTTGTAAATATGCTAAAACCCATTGAATCGTACATTTTAAATAGTGAATTTTAAATGGAATGTGAATTATATTGTAATGAAGATTTTTAATAAGAATCTCAAAAAAAGCAAAGTGCACACACAAAATGAAAGTATACATTTTAAAAATACGCATTTCCATCTATACTATACAACCTRTAGTAGCAAATTATTTAGTTGTCCTAAAGAAAACTACTCTGCTTTCAATCTGGTATTGATTTTTAGAAATTATTTTAAGCATTTTTTTTAACTATTATACCACAGAATAGTTCTGTTCTTGGAAATAAATTCTTTAAAAATTAATATTATTGTTCATTATTTAGAGTTCAGATGGAAATTCAGTAAGTGGAGATGGCCACAAGCTCACCTTTGGGCAGCGACTTGTAAATCACCTACTAGGTCTGACRCCCGCAAATCAGCGCTATTCTGTTCCTGCAGAGTTTCTGTGTGACCCAGAGATGTGGGGCTCCCATCAGTCTAGCCAGTCTCATTTGAAAGCATGCAGAGCACATTCATGGGGAAATGTAGGTAGCAATTAGATTGCTTATGAAAATGAAGGGATTCAAATCAATGAAGAATGCCAATCATCTTAATGTATACAGCTTTGATTCTTGCATGCATTCTTTGATTTAGGTTGTTAATTTTGTAGTATAGATTTGTTCTGTGAACTGACTGGGGATGTTGATACATATGCTTTTGGTTTTTCAGGAAGCTGTAGATTATCGAAGACAAGGAGCATCCTCTAGCCAGCCAGGAGAGCTCAGAGGAAGAAAAATTGTGAAGCGTTTAGTGGATATTAGAGAACTGAATGAACAGGCCAAAGTAATAGATGACCTTAAGTATGTGTTTTGACTTTTAGTTTAATGCAGTATTCTCTAATAATAGAACTACAGGATACTAAATATGGAGGAAACTTGATTTGGGGTAATACAAACCCTTTAGTTCATTAACAAGATTACCAGGCTCCTGAGAAGTTTAATAATTTGCCTGAGATCACAGATTCATTGGTGGTAAAATGAGACCTGAAATCCTAGTCTCCTGCTGTTCACACTCATTTCTGACCAGTTTAGACTGACTGTATCACATGTACATGTTGCCACATATGCATATACACTCTCCTGTGTCTTTTCGTGCATTTACAAATGTATGCATTACATATTGCTAGCACTATTTTTTGAAATGAAATTTTTTAAATATATATTTTTCTTAGTTGTAGATGGATAAATACCTTTATTTTGTTTATTTATCTTTATGTGGTGCTGAGGATCAAACCCAGTGTCTCACACATGCGAGGAAAGTACTCTACCACTGAGCCACAACCCCAGCCCTGGAATGAAATTTTTTAGAGAAGAAAAAATTACCATTTGTTAACTGCCTATTGTGAGTTTGATATGTCATCTCAATTTATTCACACATAAGATGGCACCCACGTTTATTGATGGAAAAATTGGCTCAGAGTAGTTAAAAAATTGAAACCTGACCTTGGGTGTATCTGATTTGAAAGTTTATTTTTTCGTCCCATTCCTTGCCTGCCTGAATTATCAGTTCTTTAGAATTAAAGTAGGAGTAGAAATGAGTAGGTAGTGGTAATCTTTTCTCTCTGTTTCTTATTGAATATTACTAAGTAATACCTCCTTTATAAGAATAAATATTCTCTTTGCTGAACTTTGGAACTTTATCTTCCCAAAAGTTAATAGTCATGCCTCATCTTCTCTAATCTTCATACACCTGTATCCTGTGGTTGGTTGTTTGTTGTGCATTCAAAGACTTATTCACAGATGCATTTTATACAGTGAAAGATGTTGCCTAAAAACTTGTCTGGAAATTACCATGTACTGATTCACATTTTCTTTTCTCTTTTTTTGGTACCAGGGATTGAACCCAGGGGCACTTAACCACTGAGTCACATCCCCAGCCCTTTTTGTATTTTATTTAGAGATCAGGTCTCAGTGAGTTGTTCAGGGCCTCACTAAGTTTCTGAGGTTGGCTTTGAACTCCTACCTCAGCCTCCTGATCTGCTGGGATTACAGGTGTATGCCACCACACCCGGCTGGTGATTCACATTTTCCTGTTGACTTTCATTACAGTTTGTTTTATTCTCAGGGGGTAGGGGAATGACTTGAAGCAAAATATATTCGTTTTTCCAAAATATTACCAAAGGCTTATATTTTATGTAGAATTTTACACACTTTTTTTTTAAAACAGAGTGGTCTATTTATTTGTTTATTTATTTTTTATGTGATATTAGGAATCAAACCCAGTGCCTCATGCATGCTAGGCAAGCTCTCTACCATGGAGCCATAACCCCAGCCCTGTTAGAGACTTTTGATACAGCWGTGGATAAGAAGCATTTCCTCAGCTGGGCTCGGTGGTACATGTCTATAGTCGCAGTGACTTGGGAGGCTGAGCAGGAGGGTTTTAGGTTCAAAGCCTGCCTCAGCAAATTGGCAAGACCCTATCTCAAAAAAAGAAAGAAAAGAAAGGAATGAGAATGTAACTAGGTGGTAAGTGCTCCTGAGTTCAAGCCCCAGTGTTGGGGGACAGGAAGCATTTGTTCAGCTGTTACATGGGTTGTTGTTTTGTTTTACAGTTTTAGCCTGTTCATACATAATCATTGTATTCTGACAAGTGAGAGAATGAAAAAAGAGCAAGTAAATGTCAGTTTTACTTTGTTGCTTCTTTACAATAATGGCCATATTTGCTTGGCGTTCAGAAAATTAGGTGCAAGTGAAGGAACCATAAACCAAGAAATTCAACGGTACCAGCAGTTRGAATCTGTGGCTGTAAATGATATTCGAAGAGATGTTCGGAAAAAATTACGGAGGTCCAGTATGAGAGTGAGTAAATGTTTAAATGTTTAAAAAGAGTAAATGTTTAAAAATAACTTTATTAGACTTTTTCTACCATAGCTGTGRCAAAGCCTATGTTCCCTTTTCTTGCACCACTGGGGGCCATACCACCTGATGTGCACGTTTTAGACCTGTTCTGTACCAGGCACTGTTTATTAAAGCACTTTCCATTGAACATCCTAATCCACTACTGTCCTGTGAAGTGGCTCTTAGTATTTTCCCATTTTCAAGATGAGGAGACGGGGGCACAGAGGTCAGGTAATTTGTCCAGGAGTATAGAGTCTCACGTAAGGTATGTAAGAGTGTATATAATCTGGCGATGTGACCACTGACCTGGGGAGGACGGGGTGAAACCCAGGTGGTGGGACTCCATCTACCTCAGGCCCTTGTCCCTGGGTTTTCCCTGTCCTTCATGATATCACACTTGCTTCTTAGTCGCTAATGTGAACTCTGTGAAAAACATGAAGTCTTTGGAGATGTCTCCTCTTTCCTACCTGAATTTACCTCAGCCATCACTTTCCCCATTTCAGCTTTATTTACCTTTTAAAATAAATATGGTTTATTGAGCAGTTCACAGCAAAATTAAGAGGTAAATATAAAGATTTGCCTGGTAACATCTGTAATTGGAAAATGTGAAATCCAAAATGCTTGAACATGGAAACCTTGAGTGGTRTTTTCTTCTAGGTGGTGTCTAGTGTCTCTTTTCCACTGAGATCTACAGTCGTGTGAGGTGATCCTGGTGAAGAACACAGGTCCACTGCGGCCAGGTCCATGTGTCTGCATGTTGAGGCTCAGCTATTCCTGCACCATGGGTTGAAAAGGCTGTCTGCTCAGGGTGCTGCCTTTGTTCCTCTCATAGAGATGCATTGACTACACTTGGGTGGTTCTGATTCTGTCTGGTTTGTTCCATTGATCTGTTGGTTCATTCTTTTGCTAAAAGTACACTACTTGATTAGGGTAATATCAGTATTACAGTTTTGTTCTTCAGTATTGTGTTGACTATTTTTGGGTCTTCTCTCTCACCCTATGAACTTTAGAATCTTCTTGTGTACATCCACAAAACAGCATGCTGGGATTTTGATTGGGATGAAAATGAATCTAATTAAGTTGCAAGAAACGGACATCCCAACAATATTGTGTCTTCCAACATGATCATAGAATATTTCTCTCCCCATTTATTCAGTTTTTTTATTTCTTTCATCAGAGTTTTATAGTTTTCCTCATACAGATCTTGTTCGTGTTTTGTTGGATTTATAATTAAGTATTTCCTTTTTGTGGATGCAAGAGTAAATTATGTTTCTAATTGCAAAGTCCAYTTGTCCATTGTTGGTAAATAGGAAAGCAATTGTACATTAACTTCTGTGTCCTGCAACCTTGCTATAATTGCTTATTAATTCCAGGACATTTTTGTCAATTCTTGTAGATTTTTACATAGACAATCATGTCACCTGTGAACCAAGATAGTTTTATTTCTTCTTTCCTATTCTGTGTACCTTTCAGCACATTAGCTAGTCCTTCCAAAGCAGTGTCAAAAAGAGAGGCTGTTGTTGGTCAGCTTTCCTTTACTATGGCAAATACCTGAAGTCATCACCTTAAAAGGAAGAGATATGCATTTTGTCTCAAAGTCTTAGAGGTCTCAGTAAATGGCCTCTTGGCCCTATTGCTTTGGGTCCGTGGAGTCACAGTACAATATGGCAGAAGCTAGTGGCAGAGAAACTGGGGAGTGGGGGGAGGGCTGAGGTCCCAACATCCTCGTCAGGGGCCTGCCCCCATGACCTAACTTTTACTAGACCTCAGCTTCTAAAGGTCACACCATCTCCCAGTGATCCAGGCTGGGCATGGGGTCTCCAACACCAGGCCCTTTGGGGGACGATGCAATCCAGATCCAGGCTACAGAAGGGGAGTTCCTTACCCACTCCTAATCTTAGTGGAAGAGCTTTGAATTTACTGCCATAACTATGATGTTAATTGTATGGATTTTTGTATATATTCATTATCAAATTAAGGAAGTTTACCTTTGCTCCTGGTTTGGTGAAAGGTTTTATTCATGTTGGATTTCRGCAAATATTTTTCAGCATCCATTACTATGGCTGCATGACTTTTCTGTTTTAACATGGATGGATTACACTGATTGATGTTTGAATGTTCAACCACTGTTGCATACTAGGGATAATTTCTACCTGGTTGTGGTGTATTATTCTCTTTGTACATTCTCTTTGATGGGTTTGACTTGACTTGCTAAAACTTTATGGAGGATTTTTACATCCATATTTAGAGAAGATACTGGTTTATTGTTTTTCTTTCTTGTAATGTCTTTGCCTGGTTTTGGAATCAGGCAGTGTGGCCACATAGATGAGTGAGGTCTTATTCCACTGCTCCTACCTTCTGAAGGAGATCGTGAGTAAATGGTAACATTTCTTCTTTAAATGTCACTTGCACCAGTTGCTTTCTGTTTTAGAAGGTTATTAGTTATTAATTTAGTTTGTGATAGACATGGGCCCATTCAGATTTTCTATTTCTTGTGTGAATTTTGACAAATGATATCTTTCAAAAAATTGCTTCATTTCATCTGGCTTATCAGATTTTGAGGCACAGAGTTGTTCATAGTATGTCTTGACTTTTAATGTTCATAGTCTGTAACTATGTTCTTTCCTTCCTTTCTAAGTAATCCAGTCTTTTCATAGCCTCTCCTATTGATTTTGTTGGATCTTTTTAAAGAACAAGGTTTTGGTTTTATTAATCTATTGATTTCCTCTTTCAGTTTTGTTGCTTTTTGTTTTTAATGTTTTTTTGTTCTTAATTGGATTTAATTTCTAATTGCTTTTCTAGTTTCCTAAGGAGGAAGCTCATGCAATTGATTTTTTCCCCATTTTTAAATTTGTTCTAATTTGTTACATATGACAGCAGAATGCATTTCAATTTGGTGTACATAAATAGAACACAATATTTCAATTCTCTGGTTGTACACAATGTAGAGTCTAGGGTAATGATGTCTGTCTCGTCTTTCCTGCTCCCATGTCTTCCCCCTCCCCACTCCTCCCCTTAACCCAATCCAAAGTTCCTCCATTACCCCCATCTCCCCATTATGACTTAGCATCCACTTATCAGAGAACATTAGGATTTTGGTATTTGCTTATTTCACTTAGCGTAATATTCTTCAACTCCATCCATTTATCTGCAAATGCCATAATTTTTCTTATATTTTAAGGCTGAGTACTATTCCATTGTGTACGTATACCACAGTTTCTTTATCTATTCATCTATTGAAGGGCATCTAAGTTGTTTCCACAGTCTAGCTATTGTGAATTGAGCTGTTGTAAACATTTATGTGGCTGTGTCACTATAATATGCTGATTTTAAGTCTTTTGGTAATAGACTGAGAAGTGGGATAGCTGGGTTAAATGGTGGTTTCATTCCAAGTTTTCTAAGCCATCTTTATACTGCTTTCCAAAGTGGTTGCTCCAATTTGCAGTCCCACCAGTAGTGTATGAGTATGCCTTTTTCCCCCACATCCTCGCCAACACTTATTGTTGCTTGTGTTCTTCATGATTGCCATTGTGACTGGAGTGAGATGAAATCTTAGTTTTGATTTGCATTTCTCTAATTATTAGAGTAGTTGAACATTTTTTCATATATTTGTTGATTGCTTGTGTGTGTGTGTGTGTGCGTGTGTGTGTGTATTGCTTGAGAAGTGACAATTTATTTTAGATCTTCCTTCTGCATTCCATGCATCTCACAGATTTTCATACATTGTGTTCTCATTTTATTTTTAAAACATTTTAAATTTAAATGTCTCTTGCGATTTCTTCTTTAACTCCATGCTATTCTGAAGTATGTTGTTTGATCTCAGTGTATTTTTGGATTTTCCAGGTAGCCATCTGAGAGTTGAAGGGACACACACATAGACATATGTCATATGTGTATTATATACGCCTGTGGGGGGGGGGTTGTTCCATATCTCTGTCCATGTGTCTCTCTAGTTTACATTGTTGTCAGAGAACACACACTCTGTGGTTTCTGTTCTTTAAATTTAGGTGTGTTTTGTGGCCTTACAATGTTGTGGTCTGTCTTGGCAAATGTCCTACTTGTACTTGAGAATAATGTGTATTCTGCTGTCATTGGATGAAGTAAACCTGCTATACCAGTTGATTGATGATAGTGTGGAATTCAGCCATGTCCATTCTTACAGTTTTGTGTTCCATCTATGACTGCTGATGATAAACAAGCACTGGAGTCTGCTTCTCCTCATATTTCTGTTAGTTCTGCCTCACATAGTTTTATGCTGTACTGTTAGGCACATGTATGCTGAGGATTATTATGTCTGCTTGGAACATTGGCTCTCTTAATAGCATGTAAGTTCTTTATCTCTAATGACTTTCTTTGCTCTGAAGACTGCTGTGTCTGAAATTGATACAGTTACTCCCTTTTTCTTTTGGTTAGCATGTATTTTTTTCCTTCATCCATTTGGTATATATATATATATATATATATATATATATATATATATATAGATGCATCTTTAAATAATTACACATTTGTGCAACATAATGGCAGGGATATATTTTGAGAAATGCATTACTGGGCAATTTAGTCATTGTGTAAACATCGTGGAGTGAACTTCTGTAGATAGGTGGTATTGGTTTTCACTTGACATGAATCCTGGTGCAGTGAAGAGTTGCACTAAGCATGAGGTGTGTAGAGGCTGCTGCTTCCCAGCGGGATTTCAGCACCAGAGGAGCACTCTAAACAATGATGGCCAAGCCCAGTCACAGGAACTAGGAACACAGGTGTTTGTCATTACCTAGTAGTACATACGCATAAGATCGCACGTGCTCTGCCTTCATATCCTGGCAGCTCAGTCGGCTTGTCCACAAGTACACAAAGATGAAATGTCCTTATGCAGTGCATGACGTTTTAAATTGTCTGTGTAAATGGGTTTCTTGTATCAACGTATAATTGGGTTTTGTTGGATCTAGTCTAGCAGGCTTTTTCTTTTCTTTTTCTTTTTTTTTATTCTAATTTGTTATACATGATGGCAGAATGCGATTTATTTCACATTACACATAGAGAGCACAATTGAATTTCAAGTCACTGATTGTACACAATATTTTCACACCATTCGTGTCTTCATATGTGTGCTTAGGGTAATGATGTCTAACTCATTCCACGATCATTCCTACCCCCTTGCCCCCTCCCTTCCCCTCCCTCCCCTTTGCTCTATCTAAAGCTCCTCCATTCCTCCCATGCTCCCCCTCCATTGCCATTATGAGTCAGCCTCCTCATATCAAAGAAAACATTCAGCCTCTGTTTTTTGGGGATTGGCTAACTTCACTTAGCATTATCTTCTCCAGCTCCATCCATTCACCTGCAAATGCCATGGTTTTATTCTCTTTTAATGCTGAGCCATTTTAGACCATTGATTTTTGAAGTTATTACTGATATCATTTGATTAACATCTACTATATTTGTTATTGTTTTCTATTCATTGCCCTTATTCCTAGTTCCTATTTTTGTTTTCTCTTTTTTTTTTCTTTCTTTTGTGGTTAGTGAAACTGCATTACATTTTTTTCTCCTTTTTTAGCGTTTCAGTTATACCTTTTTTAAACATTATTTTAGAGATTGTCATGTAGTGTGACCCTTGACTTTCTGAATTTGGCTTATTTCACTTAACATAATGGTCTCAATTTTCAATCATTTTCCTGCAGATGACGTAATTTCATTTTTTTCTTTATGGATGAATAAAACTCCATTGTGTACKTGAACCTCATGTTCTTTATCCTGTTGATGGATATATAGGCTGGTTCCCCAGTTAGGCTGTTATGAATTATGCTGCCATAAATATAGGTATGCAGTTACCAGTAGTATAGTGACTTTAATTCTTTAGGATAAATACCGAGGAGTGGTATTGCTGGATCATATAGTGGTTCTATGCCTAGTCTTTTGAGGAATCCTGTAATTTTTTTCTCAATAGCCAGAAACATACAAACTGGCCTTTGGTGATGCAGTGGTAGGGTGTCAGAGGGAGCATAGTATTTTATCATCCTCTGATTAGGCTTCAGTGTTTTAGTGAGCTTAAGAGACTGGACCATCAACAGCTTTGTCAGTTTTTTTCTTCCAGCCAGGTACAATGGCCCACACCTGCAATCCCAGCAACTCTGAGACAGGAGGATCCMGAGTTCAAAGCCAGCCTCAGCAATAGCGAGGCACTAAGCAACTCAGAGAGACCCCTGTCTCTAAATAAAATACAAAATAGGGCTGGGCATGTGGCTCAGTGATGGAGTGCCCCTGAGTTCTACTCCTGGGACCCCAAAGGAAAAAGAAAAAAGTTTATTTTTCCAGTTGAGGTGGAACAATGTGGCTAGAGCTGATTGGAGCTTGGATTTTCCTTCTTCTGGGTCAGTTAAGCTGTGATAATACCCCCAGGGCAGGTTGGGCCCTGGCTGACTGGCTTCTCCCAGAGTCAGATCTTGCTAAGAAGAATAGAGGACAGTGGCTCCTGTTTGCATTGCACAGTCCTCCCAGTTGGTGCTAGAATCTAAAGATAGCTGAGTGCTGCTCTGCTTTGACTCACTGTCTTGTTAAGTGGCATTTAAAGTCACTTAGGGGGAAACAGGGTAATTCATGAAGTCAAATGTTTTTCTTATCTGAAGTGAAATGTTAACAGTAAATACTTGTCTATAGTCACTTTTTTTTCCTTTCCCATTTTATTAGGCTGCTTCTTTAAAGGATAAGTGGGGATTGGGTTATAAACCAAGTTATAGCCGATCAAAAAGCATTTCTGCCTCTGGAAGACCACCTCTCAAGCGAATGGAAAGAACAAGGTATTTTGTATTTCAGCCAGTGAAACAAATAATAAAATCACTGAGTCTATTACAAAGATTCATTGCCCCCCCCCCCCGTATTCTAATTGGAGAAACTACAAAACTAACATAATATAAATGGATCTCATTGGTAAAATAGCAGTCATCCTGGTTAAGTTTTATTTCATTTATTTGAGGAGTTCCTCTGTCACACACCACAGTGCAGTGATGCTTTTCAGTAATGAAGTACTCCGCCATTTAAACAAGTCCTATGTGCAAACTTAGACTGTCCAGAGAATGGGARTGTGCACACTAGCCGCTGCTGCTCTCTCTGTCAGGATAAGAAATGTACAGCTGCACATCTGTTCAGCATGTGAAGAAATGGAAATTGTACCTATTGAATTAAATACTGCTTCGATACTAAATCACTATGAAAATAAGAACGATACATCCTTTTTATGGTTTGATTTTAGATAATCTTGAGTTAATCAACACGTTGAGTTGTTTTCACAGGATGATAAAGGTTAAGAAATAGAATGTCAGTAGTTTAGTCCTTTAATAAAGCAAATACTTAGAACTAGAATGTTAATGTCATTAATAAGACTTTTATGAAGTCCAAGAATTTTTTCGAGAATGTTAGTGTTTTATAACTGTATATTTTACTTACAGTTCTCGAGTAGGAGAAGCTGAAGAGCTCCCAGAAATCMGAGTGGATGCAGCATCTCCTGGGCCCAGAGTAACTTTTAACATCCAGGATACAGTAAGAGAAATTATATTTGTTAGAAACATACATTGCTGAATAGTTTCTACAAATTGYAAAATGGCAGTACTAATGCAGTTTCAAGATACTGATTCTTGCCTGATGTGAAATGAAGATGGTATGGGGTGAAGTGTCTGGCTGTATGAGCTGAGAGTCACACTGTGGGCCTTAGAGTTTTACCTGCACAGTGAAGAGTCCTAACTGCTTGCTCTCAGACAGAAAGGCTTTTGTTGAATATTTTTTCTCGAAAACAAGAATTCACATTGAACTATGTGTTTTACACAATTGTGATGTATTTGTGTGCAGTACTTATTTATGTATTCAAAATGTGTATATAGGTGGTGGCAGAAACCAGAGGGGCAGTTGGCTTCAGAGATGCATTGTAATTTCATAGCATGTTCAATTTTATGTTAAATTTTTTTTTGTGTGTGTGTGTATTTGTTTACTTTTAAACCATTGTTTCTTGTTCACATTTTTTTTTTTACTTTTTTCTTATTATTTTAACTAAGTTGAAAAATACAGTGTGGGGAAGTACGCCACAGTCCAGCTGTCCTGGGGAAGGGTATTTTCAGGTACTTACTCAGATCAACATAAATTTTGCTTCAAAACTAATTAATCACCCTGAAAATCTGCTTTCAAAATGTCTTCCTTTCATTTCACGCTAAACTCAGACCTCAGAAATTTTCTATTTTACATAAAATTGGTTTGAATTTTTTATCATGTATATATCTCATAAGTTCTTGCATACATATACTTTAGTTTTGTTCTTCTATATAGTTTAATATTGTTTTGATCTTCAAAATTAAAAAAACTAAAATCAGTTTATCAAATCAATTCAGTCAAATCATAAACACAGAACTGCAGTTTATTAGTTATTTGCTAATCCCGAAGAAAATCTCTTTCACTTACATTCAACTACAAAGTGAATGTGTTTTTTTTWAAAAAAGTAAACTTTAATAGTTCAAACTAAAATCAACTCTAACTCAGGGCAACAAAATAATCATCAAATGKCATTTATTTTGAATGACTGATATACAAGTATTTATAAAATGATCCATTTAAAAATTTATTCTCATGTTCAATACAGTGTGAAAATGTGCTACATAATCATTCAAAAATGTAACATTTTTATAATTCAGTATTTTCCTAAAATATATCACAAAACTAAAAGTGAAAGATATAATATACCAGGTATATAAGTCTTCTTCTAGAATTTTTCTTTAAAATTACTTTAAAAAGTTGGCACTTATTCCAAATATATTTTGTTTTTATTTCCTTCCTCTCTCAAGCTCGGAGTTTCAACATATATCCCATAGTTATACTAAATTCAATCAAATTGGACTTTGTTTTAGAACTATAATTGTACTATAGTAAGCTTGATGAATATTTCCTATATTCTAAAAAACGAAAAGCTTGAAAACAAATCATTTATGTGAATTAAATGAATCCAACAGGTTATTCTATTTTTTTAGTTTTTTTCTTTTTAATGTATTTTTTTAGTTGTTAATAGACCTTTATTTTTTATTTTTGTTTATATGCGGTGCTGAGAATCAAACCCAGGGCCTCACACATGCTGGGCAAGTGCTCTACCACTGAGCCCCAGCCCCAGCCCTTTTTTTTTGTTTGTTTGATTTTTGTTACTTTGCCATGCTGGGTATCAAACCTAAGGCCTCATGTTTGCCAAACAACTGCTGTATCACTGAGGTACATACCAGCCCTAACTGTGTGCTTCTTGAAGGCCTTAATACTTGAAATGATTCATCCTGTTTTTCAATAACAGTGTATACTCTGCTTGTAAAAAATATGGAAAGTCATAAATTAGATGATAAATATAAGATTAGGTATTAGATTTGCTAATTATAAATTGGGAAGTAATTAAGGTATAGCTACATATAAATACAAATAACAGATTGTTTTCTACATAAACTTACCCTAGTTTTAAAAGTTGAAAGATRATTCCCACAAACACAAACCTGATGTATTTGTTTACTTGACAACATATTTATTTTATAAAGTGAAGAACACCTGGTCTTTGCAGATATTTGGCATTTTCATTGTAGGATTGCATTATGAATTTTCTTTAGGTAATTTGCTCTTAAAAACTACTGAAAGCTAATTTTTAGGAACAAATAACACCACCTTGCACATTACACTTTAAAGAGGCTGATCATTCTTAAATGATGCTCAGCTCTCTGAAGCTGGRAATCAAAATTAGGTCATAGGAAGTATTGTTGGTTTTGTTGACTCACTTAAAAAACAGTGGCCTCCAAATAAAATTCTGGGTTAGAGACATGGTGTTTATACAGACTACTATGTTAAAATACAGCATCCTGAAGTTGGGTTCAGGTACATGTTTTAATATTCAACTCTGTATGTGCCTTTCCTCAGCCTATGAGGGGCTTGTTGTTTAGAGACCCTCAGAGAGCTCACAAGCATGAGGGACCAGAGTGACGCTGTGTCTGCATGTTCTTCTTACTAATTGAGCTTGCCATTCTGATTTTTGGTCGATCATGTTTCTTTTGTGTCCATATGTTTAACTTCTGCTTTTAAAGAATTCCAGTGTTACTAATCAGTGCAATGTATTCCTGTAAAGTGAAACTTCACTCTAATTTTTAAAGTGCTGGTGGCATGACTTTCTGTGGTTTGACCCACTTTCTTCCTTTGTGTGCCATTTCTTGTGTTCATAAATCTGACCTTTCTTTCAGTTGAGTGAGGATATTGAGGAAATAAAAATGTTTAAAAATGTTTTTTTCTTGTTGTAATTAAAAATGGGCTTGAAATATGATTTTTTTTTTTTTTTATAATCAGTTTCCAGAAGAGACAGAACTGGACCTTTTGTCAGTAACTATTGAAGGTCCATCTCACTACTCATCAAACAGTGAAGGGTCCTGTTCCGTGTTCAATTCTCCCAAAACTCCAGGAGGCTTTCCACCAGGCATTCCTTTCCAACCTGAAGAGGGTCGACGAGATGACAGCTTGTCTTCTACCAGTGAAGACTCAGAGAAGGATGAAAAGGATGAAGACCGGGAGAGGGAAAGGTTTTATATTTACCGAAAACCCTCGTGAGTAGGCCTTTGAAATATCCTTAGGTGGTGTTCCAGATTTCAGAACTAAATTTTTAATTTAAAGGGGTTTATTTAGATTTTAATATTTTCCAAGATAAACCCTATCAGGAAAATGGTAGTAAARATGTGGTTATGAGTTAAAGGAGAAGGCTGTACTTCTCCTGACCTTAGAGAGTAACAAATTGCAGGGAGAGGTACTATAAATATAGTACAGTATAGTATAGTATAGAAAAGAATCGTAGTAAAGGGGAAATGTTTAGCAATGGATGAAAGATTCAGCCAATTCTTGGAAGAAAGAAATAAGCTGAGATGATGAGCATGTATGACCACCACTCAAATGAGGTGGTAACAGTAACAGTAAAAGTTTGAAGTGGCAGTAATAATGGGAAATTACTAGGCACAAGAGGAATATAGTTAAAAGTTGGTCTATTAGGGGATGTCTGCATTCTTCAATTTTGTCAATTCCGAGCTTTGTGAATTCTTTTCTCCTTTTCCTTGACTGAAACCACTAACTCTTAAATGTCTTTTATCAATATATTTTGGTTTATTTCCTTATTTTTCTGTAATACATCCTCAAATTGCTTCTAAGAAAAGTTGTAATACAGATCTACTTTCTTCATTTTTTGTATCTAAAATTACTGCTAATTCTTGTATTTGATTGATTATTTGGTTCAGTGCAGAATTCTAGTTTGACAATTATTATTTTTTAAAAATTTTTAATACATATTTTTAGTTGTCGATGGACCTTTATTTTATTCATTCATTTATATGAGGTGCTGAAACTTGAACCCAGTGTCTCACACATGCTASACAAGTGTTCTACCACTGAGAAGGCCCAAGACTATAGGAGCCCGCCTGTACCAGGCAGCTGAAACAGCAAGAGGCCAGGACAGCACTGGCTGCAAAGGAAGCTGCTAGTCAGCAGGGAGCAGGCTTCACTTATGCAGCGAGCGAGCAAGCTCTGGAGATCAGCTGTGCAACACAGTGCCCACAGATATCACTAAGTGTTCTTACCAATATAAGTTTCTAAAGACATCAAATTTGTAACATCCTGATTTTTAGCATTCTAAATATGAGTGCAGACTAAGAGAGATATGATTATTTTTAAATCTAATAAGAAATATCTATATTAACAATAAGAAAGGAGTACATGTTATTCATGTAAACAAATTCACCTAGTCTGGTCCCAAAAGCTGCCACTTAATAATAATTATATTTACATATTAAGTTAGATAAATTCCTCTTAATGGCCATCATTTCTATGTATTCATTATTCCATGGGGAAATTATCTTCTCACTTCAAATTCACTCTGGATAGAGTTTGAACAATAAGCAGATCTCCTTCTATCAGATGCTTAGGATAAACTACAGTATAATGTCAAATTGTCACCAGATGTGACAAATGTGTGTATACACATGTATGTGTATATTACATACACACACACACACACACACACACACACACTCAAGCAGGATGAAAATATTTGGATGTGTAAGTAAGAAATAAAAGGGTTTGGGGTTATGGCTCAGAATCTTGAATCCATTCTGAGTTGACTTTTTGTATGGTACAGCCTACGGTATACCCAGTGCCTCACACATGCACCAGTTCAGATTACACATGTGGATATCCATTTTTTTCCCCAACAACATTTTTGGTACTGGGGATTGAACCCAGGGACACGTAACCACTCAGCCAAATCTCCAGCCCTTTTTATTTTTTAATTTTAAGACAGGAAGAACATTTGGCATTATTTTTTTTTCCAGTTTTCTGTCTTTTATTAAAAGCAGRAAAGTAGCATTTAAATTTTATCATTGAGAAAATAAAGACTCCCAAATATAGTTCAGACAGTGTAATAAAATCATTAATAACAGGGATTGTGCCTGTGTCCTTGTCACCTAGCACATTGCCTGGCATGTCATAGTTACTCAACACCTGTTGATTAAAAAGTGTCTCCTTCAAACTAGGAAAAAATGGTTCAGTTAGTACGTCTGGTTGAGTAATTTGTGTGAATTTATAAAATATTGAAATTATTTATGTTTTATAGCTTAACATAACATACTGGAAAGTGGTTTATTAAAAAGAATTCCCATTTTACTACAATGTAATGATCAGATTTCTTTTTCTCTAGGCACACTTCTCGTAAAAAAGCAACAGGCTTTGCTGCTGTTCATCAGTTATTTACGGAACGCTGGCCAACAACACCAGTCAACCGAAGTCTTAGTGGCACAGCTACTGAAAGAAATATTGATTTTGAACTTGATATACGGGTTGAAATTGATAGTGGAAAATGTGTACTCCACCCAACCACCCTTCTACAAGAACATGACGACATAAGTTTGAGAAGGTAAGAAGTTGATTGAAAGAGGTACATATGACTTCATATGTTAGAAAATCTATTCGCATATCACTGAATTACACCCACCTTTTCCCCCAGTCTCAAAATGCAGATTTTAAAAGTAGGTGATCATAATTGTAGAGGCCAAGTGATTATTTGCATAACATATAATTTTAAAAAATTAAATGCATAGTATTTTCTGGCAACTCGAAGTGAATGTCTGATTTAGAGTCTGGCAAATCTGTTAATTAAAATAGTTGTACCTTTATGATTCTTCTTTAAGTAAGCATGAATTTTTTGGTGTCTGTCCTTGTACTGTGTATATCTCTATTTTAAAGAACAGTTCAACACTGGATTAGTGAGAGTTTTGATGAGTCATAAGGAAATAAGAAAGACTGGAAAGCAGTTGTGCAGTAAGGCCTCATTAGGCTGGACTGAGTTCAGGGTATAACTATAACTTTACCATTTGCTTCCAGTCATTAACTAATGATGACATAAACAGATTTAACATTAGATTTTTTTTTTTTACATTTATTCCCTGATCTAAAAATGAACTATTTAAAAAAAAAAAAAAAAAAAAAACAAGAATAGCAGAAGGCTGGCAGCTGTCAAAATGGGATAATGGGCATGTGGGATTTCATTATACCATGTTCACTTTTGTAAACTGTCCTGTTTACTGTTTGAAATTTTTCATAAGCAAAACATTTTAAAAGCCTTTTATTATATAATTAAGCTTTTATAAAAATGAGAGAAAATAGACACTTTTTAAATTTTTTAATTTTTTTTAATTGTCAGTGGACCTTTATTTTATTTATTTATATGTGGTRATGAAAATCAAACCCAGTGCCTTACACATGCTAAGTAAGCACTGTACCACGGAGCCACAACTCCAGCCCAGCCCAAAATAGAAACTTTAAAYAGTTAAAATCTGTTACAGATGTAATAGTAATGATAAAAAGAATGACTTTTTTATTGGGATAAAATAATCCATAATTAGCTTTCAGCCTATATAAATATGGGCAGTGTCGTTTGGTTCAGCCTGATGTGTTCAAATGAAATAGCTGTGACCCTAGGAAAGAAGTCACTACCCCCTGTGGCTATGAAATGAGCATACTTCTGTTTCTTAAATGGAGGATAGCATTTTATTTTCTATTTGACAAAAGAGGAGGAGATAAATGTGTCCTTTTTTAAAAAGATAAAACATTTTTTCCCACATAGGAGTTATGATCGAAGTTCCAGGAGCTTAGATCAGGATTCTCCTTCAAAAAAGAAGAAATTTCAAAGTAATTATGCTTCCACCACCCATCTAATGACTGGCAAGAAAGTGCCATCCTCTCTGCAGACCAAGCCCAGTGACTTGGAAACAACAGTGTTCTACATTCCTGGAGTTGATGTGAAGGTAAAGACCTAGATGTTCAGGACAAGAGATCAAAGTGGATGACAGTGGTACTTTTTTTCTATTATTTATATTCTTTTTTTCCTCTGGATATTAATGAGACTTTCTGACTTTTTTTTTTTTTTTGCTTAAAATATATTCTGAACATAAGAGCATCTAAGTTGTAGGCTACTGCTTCATCTCTATAGCTTTTTCCATGAAAATTTGGCAGACAGAAGTTATCTTTTTTTAAATTCAGTATCATATTATACTTGCTAAACCTTGCCTAGTGCAACTTTATTGAGCAACTATTTTTTTAGATTCTAGAATTATATAACTGTAGTTTACTAGACTGAAAAGAACTTCTAATGATCTAAAGTGATCTTTCCAGTTTTAAAAATAAAAGGCATATAGTCTTTCCAGGATTGCAGATCTCACATGTAAAAGCTAGAACTGCATTTTTGGATCCTGAGCCAGTGTTCTTTCTACTACATTTTTATATTTCATGGTTTTTCCTCATCTGATACTGTTTCAATTTTGAAAGTGTATCTTTTTTCAATACAGTTGCACTACAATTCTAAGACGCTAAAGACTGAATCACCTAATGCTTCCAGAGGGTCTTCCTTGCCAAGAACACTCTCCAAAGAGTCCAAGCTGTATGGTATGAAAGATAGCGCGACATCTCCTCCTTCTCCTCCTTTACCTTGCACTGTCCAGAGCAAGACTAACACCTTACTTCCTCCCCAGCCCCCACCTCTCCCCTCAGGTATTTAGAATATACTCTACTTTTTAATCATTTTTTTCTTAATTTTCAGTCATCCTACTTGCTCTGTTGAGACTTTCAAATTCACATTTAAGGAAAAGAACATAGACTTGTAAACAATGACTGTGCAAAATTCACAGATAGAAATCTGGGCCAACTATTTGTGGCTGTTTCTCAAATTTGATGTTACTTTAGAACATCAGTTTTAATCTTGAGGTAGTTCAGTAGCTCAAATTTTTGTTCAGTATATATTTAGGAAAGAGTGGTTCTGTATAGTTCAGATTTGGGAGATCTGATAAGTTATCAAACTAATAATTTAAGACAATTTGATTTAACTGCATTTATCAGTTATCTGTTATGAGATAGCAGATTACCCAAAATTTAGTGATTTTATAATCTCAAACACAGTTTCTATTGATGAGCGATGCCACCCAGTTTGGGGGATCTGACATGTGGTCTTCCATAAGGTTGGAGTCAAGATGTTGTCCAGGCCTGCAGTCACCTGAATGGGATCTAGGGCTGGAGAATCTGCTCCCATATGTTCCAGTCATGTGGCAGCTAATAGGCACCTTGATTCCATGCCTTGAGGCCTTTCTCCTGGCTGCTGAGTGTCTATAAGATATTGCAGTTAATCTCCCTCAAAAAAAAAAAAAAAAAAAATGATCCAGAAGAGAGCAGGGCTCAGTGTGCAATATCTTTTATGGTGTGGCCTCAAAAGCTGTACAACATCACTTTTGCAATCTTACTGATGAGATAGATCATTATCGGGGGAACAAGGGTATGAACACTGGGAGCAAGGATAGTTGCATATCATCCTGGAGTCTGCCTACCACATAGCACAGGAATGATACCTTAGATCCATGGTAAAATTTCCAAAAGGGGGACTACCAAACATTTGTCACTGGGAAGACAACTTGATATATGAACCTTTTATGAGTCAGTAAAGAGTCATGATGACAATACCTAATATTTTTATATCACTTTTCAGTTGCCAAGTCTCATCTGTATTCATTGCAAATATTAGAATCCTGTTTTATAAATGAGGAAGTTTAAAGCTTGGGTTGTGAACATCTGTTCTAAGTTTACACAGCTAGTAAATGTTTGTAGTGGAAACCTAAGCTAAGTCTTTATTAGATATTCCTACTCATTCTACCGAAGTGGAAATATTTAGTTAAGGAAGAATGAAAGAAAGATAGCATCATATGTTAAGAAGCTTTATAATTGCATACAGGCTAAGCATAGGAAAGCCTGAAAATAGTGACATTTTTCCTTACTTGCCACTAAATATTGTAAGTCAAGTTTCTCTGTATCTTCTTAAATAGACAAAAGGACTAAAACTAACAAAAAACATAGCAAAGTATAAAATTGAAAAATTGGACCAGAATTTGTGACCTAGAGCAAGTAAGAATAACCATTGTGTTGTACATCATTAATGATCATTGTATTCTAACATTAATGCATCATTTCCATCAACCTGCTATTTTTACTGTTTTCTTCTATGCTTTTAAATAAGGTACTTCACCTGATTAAACTGTCATATAATTCTGCTGTATCACAAAATTCATATCTTTTATTGGAACATTTTATTAAATTTCCTTAAGTGTACCTAATATTTACAAATGTTCTAGCCAAAGGAAAAGGAAGTGGAGGAGTAAAAACAGCCAAGCTCTATGCCTGGGTAGCACTTCAGTCATTGCCGGAGGAAATGGTTATTAGTCCCTGCTTGTTGGACTTCCTGGAGAAAGCTCTGGAAACAATCCCAATTACACCAATCGAAAGGAATTATACAGGTAAGCACCATCCTTATGTACTCACTTCATTGTTACCTGTGTTTTGGGACCCCATTGCTTAGCAGTGTTTTTTAATGCTATTACATATTACAATACATTCAGTTATAATTAAATAGATAAAAGAATTACAGAGCTGAAAAATTCCCTGAGAGATGATCTGATCCTCATTTCCTTATGAAAATGGTTCAGTCCTGTGAGGTTTTATGATTTCCCCAGGGCCACAGCTAATGGATGACAAGGTCCACAACCTCAGGTTCTACATTAGAGTGTCCTTGAGGGCAAAGGTATAATAACTATTTCCTTTGTGCACTTTGAGTGGCAGGGGAGTTTCTTTGGGAGACTGAGCAAGAGGTTTGAGGAGGGGAAGATGTATAGAATGGTGAGCTTCAAAAGCAAACGTTCTGGGTGTTCTGGCCTCGGAGCTGAGCACTGAGTATAAGAGAAAAGAATCTTATAATAGTTTGCTCTTGATCAAATAATAAAACTTAAAACTAAATATTTTAACAGCGGTTAGCTCACAAGATGAAGACATGGGGCATTTTGAAATACCAGATCCTATGGAAGAGTCAACAACATCACTAGTGTCATCCTCAACGTCAGCATACTCTTCCTTCCCCGTGGATGTCGTGGTGTATGTGCGAGTTCAGGTGATAAGCTTCATTTATGGCTTTTCAAAGGAAAATATTTTCCTTAAGTATATTTCAACATTATTTCCCTTTGAAGTTTTCTTAGCCATAGGCTTTTGGACCTTTAATAAATTTATGATGGTTTAGAGGTTGCCTGAACTTTGAGAAGTATATGTAAAATTTTATGTATAACTCTACTTTGTTTCTGAAATGTTTCATAGATCATTGGATTTTTAAAATTTAGATCTCATACTTTTGTGGCAAAAATTTAAATACACATTAAAATCCCTTTAAAATATTTTATGCCTTTTTATTGTACACATTTAGTTCTTACCATGTGATACAAACTATTAAGATACAAGGTCACAACAGTACTTTTGTTTGGATTTCTGCTTAGTTAGGTCATTTTATTTAATATTTTATTCTAAAACACAGTCCTAGCAAATATACTCCTTTGGGAGTAAAATTGTTAAGGAGGAGTTGAAAACCTGTAAACCTCTCAGTTTGGTTTATCTCAACTAAAATTTTATAATCAAGCTAAAGAAGAAAAGCAATGCTGAAGGTGATCTGTTCCAGCTGTTTCTTACAATAGCAGTAGGCCAAAAGGTCTTCAGTGTGTAATTCTGGAGGTTTGCACTCACTTTTTTGAAGGTCTGAAGAAAACACATGAGTAAAGAGTTTAGGGTAAATAAAACCTTTGTTACTAATAAAATGGTGGGTTTTTTTTTTTTTTCAAATTTTAATATAAGTGAGATTACTTTTTAAAAGACTGGATTAAGAGCAAGTATAACATAAGGATAAATATTTTCAAGAGTTCTGAATTATCTCAATGTCTAAATATTGCTCAGAGATGACTCTTCCGATATTTAACTTTTCAAAAAGGACACCATTTTGTGAATATACTTTGGCTCGTGGATCATGTTTCTGAAAAAGTGATGACGTTAAACATAACCCTTTTAAGTGTCAAATGAGTAGACATGATAAGCTTGGTGTAAGTGGACTAGAATGGAATTTGAATGTGACATCTGGAGTCCAACAGGAAACTTTTTAACTGTATGGTTCCTGGAAACCTTTTCTGGCTTTTTGCTGCTGTTAGCCCTCGCAGATCAAGTTTAGCTGCTTGCCAGTGTCGAGAGTAGAGTGCATGCTGAAGCTGCCGTCCCTGGACTTGGTGTTCTCCTCCAATCGAGGGGAACTGGAGACTTTGGGTACAGCATGTCCCACAGAGACCTTGTCCCCTGGGGGCACTGCTCCTCAGAGTGGAACAAAGACTAGCAAAACTGGAATACCAGGTAAGCAAACATTGTTTTACTTCTCTGGCATAAAGCCAAATATAACATTTGAATCAATGTTATAATAATAATTAATATGTTTTAAATTTTGAAAAGGAGACTATTTAAGAATTAGAATATTTCCAGAAAAAAAAAATGTATAGTATACCAAAGTTTTAAGTATACTTCATGTGTTAGTAGAACTTGAGTACCGTTTAGTTTACATTTTTAGCTAAGTAGCAATTAGATAGCATTTTGGTTTTGGTTTAAATGTACACACTATAAGCACTATGATGTGACTAGTATGTCATCACACATTCAAAGTTTGGAAAGTTTTCTTTGATGCCAAGTTAGATTTTAATTTAAGAATAGTCAGTGTTACAAATGGAAAATAAGAGACATGCTGTTGTTTATAAAGATTTCTTATCATGCTGTGTCAAAATTGTGTCAGGTAAACATTTATATTTTTTAAATGGCAAATTGTGTTGTCTGGTTCTTGTCTATTGCATCAAAAGTGGTTTTTTGGGGTTTTTGTTTTTTGTGGTGCTGGGAATTGGGCATGTGAGGCCCTTGTGCATGTGAGGCAAGCACTTTACTAGCCCCGAAACTTTTGTTTTTAAAATATGACTGATGATTTCCTGATAAGATAGATACACCTCAGTAAAATCTCAGTGCTATTTCTATCCTAAAAATTATGTAGTGGTCACAAATGTAAACGATAAAGAATTTACTGAACATTTTWAAAACAAGAGGCCAGATTGAATGAAAGTTGATGGGAGAATTGAAATATTGTTTACACAGTGGTTCTTAACGGGGTCTGGRATGTTTGGCAGTGTGGGAGGCAGTATGGATTTTCTTAGTTACAGCCTTTGACTTGAAGCTAGTGGGGAAGTGGGGTGCTGCTTAAATGCCCTGTAGTGTCACCACAACTCCTCCCTCCCAGAGAGTTATCTGGTCTCAAATGTCAGTAATGCCAACATCGAGAAAACATGCATTAGAGTAAAAAGTATAAAAACCTATTCTCCAGTTTTGAGAACGGCATGAAGACAGGGGAGAGGTGCCACGTCCAGCACGCCGTTAATTCAGAAACCTGAGGGGTGGTGGGGGATAAAGACAAGACAGAGAGACACAACTAGGGAGAAAAAGCCGGGGTCAGGTGGGTGACCAAGCCCTGGTGAAGCTTGACTGACTCTGAGATAGCTCAGCACATTTATTATATAGTTTCCTCATCAAAAGGTTAATTATGGGAAAGTTTCAGCATAGCAGGTAATCTGAAGGACGCAGGACTGGCAAGACATTAGGATCATCTTGTTTTGTTCAGAATCCTCTATCCCCTGGACAATGTGCTGAACTCAAGGCCTTGACTGATAGAGCCACACATCTTTGCATGTAGCCACCCCTGGCCACTGTTGCCATAACAACTGGAGCATCTTGGCCTGCACCTTTGCACAAGTAGCTGCCAGTACCAATGCAGCCACGGGAGTCAGACAGGCCATGATTTATATCACCAAACTCCACAGAGAGGGAAGCAGCTTTCTGATTTTGAAGGAAAAACAACAAACTGGGGGTCCTGTTTTTGGAGCAGTTATCTTAGATTCAGAACTTTACCCAAATAGTGTATCAAGCATCAATAGGAAAATGCTTTATCTCTAGTATTTACCCACCATACTGGGGAAAGGGTTAAAACACACATTTGTTTTGCTGTGTGAATCTTTGAAAGTTTTTACTACAAATTCAGGAAACTAAACAATTGATTTCCTAGAAGCAAGGTTTTTGCTATTTGGTCACCCATTAGATTGAAATTCTTCTGCRGTTGGGAGATGTTACAGTGGTAGTGTTGGCTTTTTAAACCATATTTTCATAAATGTAATTACTCTTTATAAAATAATGGGGAAAACAGAATTATTACAAATGAAATGAAAGTAGGAAGTACCAGCCCTTGATCATAGGTTACCTGTGTCTCATCCACTCTCCCACACTGTTGGAAGGATGTTATCTTTTCTCTCAGGCAAAAGTGAGATATGGTTTCTTCTTCTACATTACTCTTTAAAATTTGAAATATCAGAGGCATTTTCCCCAAATACAAAACATTTGTCTGTAAAGTAACTTTAATGGTTAGTTGATATCCCATAATTTTGATGATATGTTTGAGATTCCCTGGGTTTCTTGTTTTATTTGAATTTTAAAAATAATATTTAAATGAACATTTTTGCATACAAATATTTACAAACAAATTCTTAAAGGGGGAATTTCTGTGTTGGACAGTGTGAACATTGTTTAAGTGATAGGTTTTGCTGTCCAGTAAAACAGATGTGTGAGAATATCAAGCTCACTGTACCATTCCCAAAGCTTTTATCTTTAATCATTGTCAATRTGATGGAGTAAAATGGGATTTTTATTATATTAATTTGCATTGTATTGCTTTATTGGCCATGGGGGAGGGGTTTGTAAAATGTGCCAGGTTATTTCTCTTAGAATGTTCACCTTTCTTCGTGACAATGTCATAAGCACCGAAATTATTACAGGAGTATTGTACAGACACACAGTGCCAAGAATGTATAGAGAAAGGACCATGGCGCAACAACTCTGTTTATGCCTGCATTTTAGGTTGCTTTAGAAAATAACAAAAATGAAATGCCACCTCTCATTTTATAAAAACATTCAGGAAGGAGTGATGATGAGAGTAAATTGTAAGTGTGATGAAATCCATTCCTTGAAAGGATCTTTACTGAATGTGTGTGCAGGTCAGTGCTAGGAATTAGATGTACACACAGAACACAGCTAATTGARATGGTCTTGCTGAAGGGACAGATAAGAGCCAAGCACACAAGCTCATTTTGGGTGGAAATGTGAAGCAGGTATGATTCAGCCAAGCAGAAGGTTGGAGGACTGAGCTCTGCAGGTAGAGAGTTACTAGTCCATGATACAGGAAGGACCTTTGGCAACTTTGGAAAATTGGAAGGAACTCTGGAAAGTCAGAAGGAAGTCTGGTCTGGAGGTGGATTTTGGAGTCATCAACCAAATCATATGGTGTATTGTTTCATATTTTCATGTTTAAAGCATATTTGGAATTATCCYATCCTTCCTTGGTAAATGTCTAAGAGAAAGAGCTTTTTTATTTTCTACCTTTGCGTGTCCTGTTCTTAGACCACTGTTAGCTACTAAAATGTGGACTCCAGCTATATGATATGGATTTTTTCCCAGTTTGCTCTTCCCTCTGTGCTTAAACTCAACTCTGGGGCTCTTTCATTGCCTCTTTCCAGTGGAGCTAAGAAATGGGAAACTGTAATCGGCCAGAAACACATGTTAATTGTTGTTTTAAAGGTGAACAGAGTAACCCGCCTTGATTTACATTGTAAAGTCAAGGGAAAATGTGTCTAAGTCCTCATTTTGTTTTAGGGATTTAAGTCTATTGATATATTAGCGTTTGAAGGTTTCCATTTTATTTTCCTGTCATGTTTTGTATCTTGGAAATAAATAAGTAGCTTTTTAAGATTGTTATGGCTTATAGACATTTTGGACTTTTCTGTTCACCTTAGGCYCATCAGGATTAGGCAGCCCTCTGGGCCGAAGTCGGCACAGCAGTAGTCAGTCGGATCTGACCAGCTCCAGCAGCAATTCCTCTGGCTTGAGCTTCACTGCRTGCATGTCCGACTTCTCCCTGTACGTGTTCCATCCGTATGGAGCAGGGAAACAAAAAACTGCTGTTTCTGGCCTCACACCTGGATCAGGAGGATTAGGTAAACTATGCATGTTTGATCTTTTTCAAATTTGTAGCATCTTTTCAAAAGCTTTTTCAGGCTTTTCAAACTTTCTTTTCATAAATCATAATAATGGATATAAACTAAGATCAGAAGTTTTTTATATTTTATCTATTTGATAATATTAATTTTGTCCCTATTTCACATCTTGTAGAAATATGAAATAAGGAATTTGAGTAAATTAACTATATGTGGATTTTAAATTGAAAATATTTTCTACACAGTACAGTAATCTACTCAGAAATTAGAGTTTACGTGTTATGTTTAAATCTTACCAAATCCACATTTGTACGGGAAACTATATTCTTAATAAAGTAAAAATTTTAAGTGCCTCCGTCATGTTTGTTAATTTAAAATGAGAATTATTATTTAGGTCAATTATTTACTGAAATTAAATTTTAATGACATTTTCCAGTACAGTCGAAACACTAAAAATGCATAAGATTTTGCTACGATTGCTTCACTTACATTTGGACAGATAATGAAGACACACATTCCATGTCAGTTCCAACTTTTGCCATTGAAGGAGGGGTTTTGAGAGTCCCTCATTCTGTGCGCCTGCTGGGAGGACACTGATGCTCATGAGATCCTCTGCCACAGCCACTAGCTCATCTAAGTGATTGGGGTTGATAGCATACTGCAGTGTGGGGGATTGGCTTCATCTAGATGGATGACCTTGTGTGTAAATAGGTGTGGGGTTTTTTTGTTGTTGTTTTTTAGGGAACGTGGATGAGGAGCCCACTTCAGTCACTGGTCGAAAAGACTCACTCAGTATAAACCTTGAATTTGTGAAAGTGAGTTTGTCTCGAATAAGGCGTTCAGGAGGTGCCTCATTTTTTGAAAGCCAATCTATAAGCAAATCTACAAGCAAAATGGACACTACGCTAATAAATATATCTGGTATTCAGTTTTTTAAATTTTAATTAAGGTATTGTTTTCCAGAACTAATAATGACCTCTGCTTTCACCATTTAAATATGAAACATGCTTAATAGCAAGCTTTAGTGGCAAGGCAAACTCAGGGGGAAATGGGCTCAGACCCCAGTGCTGTCTTCAAGTATATCAGTGCGGGCAGTATTGGCACTGTCGTTTTTAGTTAAAAAGACATTAGGCAAAGCCAAAATAGGCCTGATTAGATAACTGAAATGCTTCTTCACTTCCTCTCTACCATGAATTGGTAACATTTCTGACTTTTCATTTGTTCGTTGGATTTTCTAATTGAGAGTTTTGTGGTAGCAAGAAAGACGGGAGGGGAAAGATGCTTGAGGCTATTGAATCTCACCAAACAATAGTGAATGGAAGCCTGAGTTGTGGCAGTGAGAGCGGAGAGCAGGGAATGGCTCAGGARGATGCGGGAGAACCCTCAGCCTGAAGGCAGGCTGCTAAGGAGCAGTGGAGGGGATGGGGAGCCTCAGGCTTTAAGCCCAGGTGATCAAAAGGAAATTGATCAGTGGTAGAGCACCTGCCTAGCACATGTGATTCACTGGGTTCAATCCTCAGCACCACATAAGAATAAATAAATAAAATAAAGATACTGTGTCCATCTATAACTAAAATATTTTTAAAAAGGGGTATTGATTCCACTAACTTAGATTGAAATAAAATGGACAGAAAAGAAGGAATTCCTGTGGGACATATAAGGGACAGGGTTGGAGAGGCTGGGGCCAAGGCTGGCTCAGGGCCTCGTGGGCACATGTGTCCTGCAGAAGCTGCAGAAGGGGAAGAGGAACACGTACATTAGGAGTGGAGTGCTCAGAGAAGAACCCTCCAGAAGGAAATTAATGGTCCCTGCGCACAGTTCTTAGGTTGCAGGTCCCTTTGAGGAAGGTGATATCCTAGCTCATCCTGTTGGTACATTTTGCATATTTGAGATAAGTCCTATATTAAAATGGAAAGCTGGCTGAGACTGTTTCCTGAGAAACAGTGATAATATAATCCAACTTCAAGACAGTGATAATATAATCCAACTTGCTATCACCTTAAAAGAGGAAGTGGAGCTAATAGTCCCATAGTGCATTATTTCTATAATTGGTGGAAGGATATAGTAACTTGTTAAGCATAATATATAGCTTATTTTGATATTTCATAAATTGTACCATTAAGCATAATTCATCTGTATGATATATCTGATACCCTCCATGTAAAAATATTGAAAGTCTTGGAAATCTGTAAGTTCTAACAATTTTTATTTATGTATTAGCTGTTTGTGATATAGGGTCTGCCTCCTTTAAATATGATATGCGCCGCCTCAGTGAAATTCTGGCATTTCCAAGAGCCTGGTATAGAAGAAGTATTGCAAGACGTCTGTTCCTTGGAGATCAAACAATAAATTTGCCAAGTAAGCTTGTTGTGTAGCTATAATTAGGTTGCTTTTAATTTTGGCTATAATAGTAGTAAGACCCATCCTTGATGATAGAAACTTTGTTCTCCTTGGTAAATTGTACCATGTGATACAGTCAGGCATTCGAAAACCATCTGTTGGGCCCTTCTAACATGTCAGGTACCAGGGGCACCATAGAATCCAACAGAAGTCTTGCCCTCTCAGATCACAGTGTAGCTGACATTTTATATTCTATAATAATTATGCTGTGATCATCATAAACTCTGGAAATGCAGAAATATATTTTTTAACTATCCAAATTAATTATGGTTGTTTAAGGCATGGAAAACAAAAAAATGTTGGGAACATGCTGCTGCTGTGCCTTCGCTTGTCCCTTGTTCTAAGATAGTGTTGTAAGTTTTTGCTTAAGCAGATTTGTAGAAGTGTAGAATATGTTTAGCCTAATAGAGTGGAAAATACAAGAAATGCTAGGACTGGGTCTATTTCCTCACCTCTTTGCACTTTTCATAGAGTTATGTGAGAATTCAGTACTGTTTTTTTACAAACTGTAAATTGCCATCTACTTGCCAAATGGGGAGCTAGAAGGAATGTGTAATGTGGCTAGAGATGGTGGATRAGGTAAGTTATTTGATAACATAGTAACTTTGCTCTGTTTCTTTTGTATTTTCTTTTGTTTTCCACTCTTGCACTAGCTTCTGGGCCTGGAACACCTGATTCCATTGAAGGCGTAAGCCAGCACCTTTCCCCGGAATCATCAAGAAAAGCTTACTGCAGGACGTGGGAACAGCCAAGCCAGTCAGCCTCCTTCACCCACATGCCTCAGTCACCTAATGTATTCAATGAGCATATGACGAACAGCAGCATGTCACCAGGGACAACAGCACAGAGCCTGAAATCACCTGCTTCCATAAGGTCAAGAAGTGTGTCTGATTCTTCAGTTCCTCGAAGAGGTGACACTGCTCTCTTTATTACAGTAGCTCTCCAGTGTTCCCAGATAAAAATCTTAGTCACTCACAGACTCCTGCCCCAGTTGGCGGGGGATGCATTCTTGAGGCTTTTATGATAATAAGTTAGGGAGAAAAAATCCACAGAAACAACAAATACCAAATACTTGAAAGTTCTGCCAGCAGAAGAGATCAATAGATGGCTTGTAGCTCCTTAAGGAACTAGGAAGAGAGGAGAACTGCATTTGTGTGCTCCACATGGCACAGTTGTTTTCAGAAATACACCTATAGTCTCATAAAACTCCCAGAAGATGCTTGGATGTTAAAAGTTAATCCTTGTATTTGTTTAGTCATTCTTTCATTCAATCAGTACTTTTTAAAACTGTATGTACTGGGCTGTGGCCTTGTACTTGTACCTCAACATATAAAAATGGGAGATGCAGTTCTATCACCACGTCAGATGAGGTATGAGCAAGTGCAGGGTTTCTTTTACATACTGAGTTACTTTGAATGCAGAAGGCAGGTTCTCAGCCAGCCTCTGCATTTCAGAACAGTCCCTGCTGTTGAGTCCTCTATTCGACAGCAGCATCGTAGGATTTTTCTCCTTGCTGAAGAAAGCCCGAGGGTGATGAGTGGTGTGTGCTCCTCTTCTGCACACAGCCACATTCCTGCTGTGAAGCGGGCCATTGAGTCCTGTAAGCTTCCAAGAAGTAAGGTTGCTGGGCTCGGTAAGCATTCCAAAAACATGTTGTTACTTCAGAGGCAGTGTGACAGCTAATCCACATTAGGTTTCAGTATAGGAATGTCACATCTTTACCTCTGGATCATGGAGATGAGAACAGTTTCTGCTTTGTAATGGACTTGGCACATATAGGAGCGAACATGTATTTCATTTTTCTATCTTCATTCAGATTCACTTTCAAAAACATCAACTCCTGTTAACAAATCAAACAAAGCAGCAAGCCAGCAAGGGACCCCGTGGGAGACACTTGTCGTGTTTGCCATCAACTTGAAACAACTGAACGTGCAAATGAATATGAGTAACGTGATGGGAAATACCACGTAAGCTATCCAGAGAGAAACGCAGTTGTTGTCATTGTCCTCAGAGTAAAGCAGTTCCACCCTTTGTGTAGTACTGAAGAGTTTGAGACAGTGCAGACACCAGCTAGAGATACAAATGCTTTCGTCCTGAAAATGGCTGTATTRTAAGGATACCACAGTATAAAACAGCACGAAACCTGTTCCAAAAGGGGGCGGAAGTTATAAGGAAAATAGAGTCAATTTCTACCTAGGAAGAAAGCTTCATCATCACTGCTACCAATAGTTTTTTAAGAACTGTTGTTTCATTGTCAAACTTAATCTTTTATTTGTTAATCTGACTCCCCTTTTAATTCACCATATTGGCAACCATCTCTTTAACAATGCTTTTTCCTTTTTTCAGTTGGACAACTAGTGGTTTGAAGAGCCAAGGTCGGCTGTCAGTGGGAAGTAATCGAGATCGGGAGATCAGCATGTCTGTTGGGCTGGGGAGGTCACAGTTAGATTCTAAAGGAGGAGTAGTTGGAGGGACCATCGACGTCAATGCTTTGGAGATGGTTGGTATGTTGAAGTTTCTCGACTCATGTAGCATACTTTTAAAAATTACATTGAAAAATGCTTTTTGAAAACTGATTTTTCTGTTTTCCCATAAATGTTTCTGTGGAAAGTAATTATGTTTTTATTTTAGCTCATATTTCTGAACACCCAAATCAGCAACCCAGTCACAAAATTCAGATTACCATGGGTTCCACTGAAGCTCGTGTTGACTACATGGGTTCAAGTATCCTCATGGGCATCTTCAGCAATGCTGACCTTAAGCTTCAAGATGAATGGAAAGTAAACTTATATAACACACTGGACTCAAGCCTGACTGATAAAAGGTATATTATTCTTTTTTTTTTTTTTAAATACTAGGGATTGAACTCAGTGGTCTTTAACCACTGAGCCGCATCCCCACCCCTTTTTATTTATTGAGGCAGGGTCTTGCTGAGCTGCTTAGAGTCTCACTAAGTTACTGAGGCTGGCTTTGAACCTATAGTCCTCCTGCCTCAGCCTCCTGAGCTGCTGGGATTACAGGCGTGCACCACCACACCCAGCTCTGAACACTATTGTGACTGTTCTTAATGCATTTTTTTCACCCAGTGAGAAAAACACAGGCACTTCATTTGTTGTKCAGAATAGTCTTATATTATGCAACTAATACAAATGAAAAAGTTGAGTGGGAAAGATAATTCTTCTTATATGTTTAAGTTATCTTCTGTGGGATATATGATAAAGATTATGTTTTTATGTTCTAGTGAGATTTTTGTCCATGGAGATTTGAAATGGGATATTTTCCAAGTAATGATATCAAGATCAACAACACCAGACCTGATAAAAATAGGCATGAAGCTCCAGGAATTTTTCACACAACAGTTTGACACCAGCAAACGAGCTCTGTCTACTTGGGGACCAGTTCCTTATCTTCCACCAAAGACAGTGACTAACAACCTAGAGAAAAGTTCACAAGAACAATGTAAGAATTAGAATTAATTTTTTGTATATGCTTTATCTTTCACTAAATGTATTCTTTTTTTTCAATTTATTTTTTTCTACTTTGTTATACATGACAGCAGGATGCCTTTCAATTCATGATACACAATGGAGCACAACTTTCATTTCTCTGGTTGTACATGATGTAGAGTTGCACCTCGTGTGCAGTCATACATGTACCTAGGGTAATGATGTCCATCTCAGTCCACTATCTTTCCTGCCCCCATGCCCCTTCCCCCACCCTCCCCTTTGCCCAGTTGAAGTTCCTCCATTCTTCTCATGCCTTCCCCCGACACATTCTCAGTCAGCATCCACTTTTCAGAGAGAACATTCAGCCTTTTGGGATTGGCTTACTTTGCTTGGCATGATATCCTCTAACTCCATCCACTTACCTGCAAATGTCATAATTTTATTCTTTTTTAATGTTGAATAATATTCCAATGTGTATATATACCACAGTTTCTTTATCTAGTTATCTATTGACGGGCATCTAGGTTGGTTCCACAGTTTAGCTATTGTGAATTGAGCTGCTATAAACATTGATATGGCTGCCTGACTATAGTATGCTGATTTTAAGTCCTTTGGAGTGGGATAGCTGAATCAAATGGTGGTTCCATTCCCAGTTTTCTAAGGAATCTTCATACTGCTTTCCAGAGTGGTTGCTTTAATTTGCAGTGCCACCAGCAATGTATGAGTGTACCTTTTTCCCACATCAGTGATGAACCCTCTGAAARAGAAATTAGAAAAACTACCTCATTCACAGTGGCCTCAAAGAAAATAAAATACTTGGGAATCAGTCTTAACAAAAGAGGTAAAAGGCCTATAAAGTGAAAACTACAGAACCCTAAAGAAACTGAAGTAGACCTTCGAAGATGGAAATATCTCCCATGTTCTTGGATAGGAAGAATTAATGTAGTCAAAATGGCCATCCTACCAAAAGCATTATATGGATTTAATGCAATTCCAATTAAAATTCTAACAACATTCCTCATAGAAGTAGAAAAAGCAATCTACTTTCCAAATTTATTTGGAAAAACAAGAGACCCAGAATAGCCAAAGCAATCCTTAGCAAGAAGAGTGAAGCAGGAGGCATCACTACACCAGACCGTAAACTATACTACAGAGCTATAGTAATGAAAACAGCATGGTGTTGGCACCAAAATAGACCTGTAGACCAACAGTACAGAATAGAGGACACAGAGACAAACTCACATAAATACAGTTATCGTACCAGACAAACACACCAAAAACATACATTGTATTGTATTCTTAATTAAAAATAATAATAATGTATAAGCCATATTTAGGAAGTAACCTGTAGCTCTTTATCCCGTTTACTCAGAAAGAGACTGACCTCCTACCTGCAAGTGAGTGAGAGGCCACTTGGGAAGTCATTTGTCCTTATTGTCTCCTTTCCCTGCCACAGCTCATCTGCAGTCCTGCCCACCTCATGCCCCTAAGTATTGTTTATGACAATGTCATGCTCTGGTTTGGAACACTGGCTATGCATTCAAAATAGCTGAGTTTGGATTTATTAACTGATATTAGATAGATTAATATTTTTCACTCAGTAATTCAGTAATTGGCAAATATTTATTAAGCAAAAAACCTGTGTTTAGGTACTGTTCTAGTCATAAGAGATTTAGTAGTAGGTACAATCCCTGCCCTCATGAAGCTTATATTATAATAGGAGAGACAGACCATAAATAATTTGCTAATTAAATATATGAAATAATTTAAGGTAGAGAGAAGTGCTGAGAAAAGAACAAAGGGAAGAATATAGAAATAGAGACTAAAATCATGGCATTTGTAGGTAAATAAGTTGGAGCTGGAGAAGATAATGCTAAGTGAAGTTAGCCAATCCCAAAAAACCAGAGGCTGAATGTTTTCTTTGATATGAGGAAGCTGACTCATAATGGTAATGGAGGGGGAGCATGGGAGGAATGGAGGAGCTTTAGATAGGGCAAAGGGGAGGGAGGGGAAGGGAGGGGGCAAGGGGGTAGGAATGATGGTGGAATGAGATGGACATCATTACCCTAAGCACACGTATGAAGACACGAATGGTGGGGAAATACTTTGTATACAGTGACTTGAAAAATTGTGCTCTCTATGTTTAATATGAAATTAATTGCATTCTGCCATCATGTATAACAAATTAGAATAAATAAATAATTTTTTAAAAAAAGAAAATGCTAAGATATAAGGATAGCTACTTTAGAATGGGCAATCAGGGAAGCCTGTTCTAAGTGAAATTTTGGTAGAAATGTGAATGAATGAAAGAGTGAAGCTGAGATCTGGAGGAAGAAAGCTCTGGGCACAGGGTTCATGGAGGGTCTAAAGCTCCTATCATGTGAACAGACTTGGTTCATTTGAGAACCATTAAGGCAGGCACTGTGACAAGTGCCAGTGAGCAATGAGGAGAATGGTGAACATGAATTCAGAGGTGTAGACCACAGACAGGATTGTCAGTCATTGGAAGCTGTTGGAGTTTTGAACATATATATTTTCACTTCTTAAAATATGCCTTTAAAAGCATCATTCTGGCCATGTGTGGAGCAGTTGAGAGTGGCAGTAAGGAGAGGTTTCAGTGATTACCATTGTTAAGTGAGTACTCCCACTTCCACCCTAAGGCGGCCACTGCATGAGTCCAAGCAAGAGGTGATGGTGACTTTAACTGRGCTAACAGTGGTAAAAGGGGTGAATAATAGTCAAAATAGGATAGCTTTTTAATAACTTTTTATCACAGAAGTATTACATGAGCATTGAAAAAATAAACCTAAAAACTACAATCAAAAAATGAAAACATTGCATTCCACACACAAATTGACTCTGTGAACAATTTAGAGCACACACTTGGATATTTTTCTGTGCATCTATGTACCTATGTATACGTTTGACAAAAATGTCTTTGTTTTATTACCCTTTCCTAATTAACAGTCTCCAACTTTCTATTTTGCTAATTATGTATGTCCTATGGCACATTCAAGTTTCTGTGACTGACCTGAAAAAAAAGAAATCCTTTTACAAGTGGTCTGCCCAAGTCAGTATATCCAGTTCAAGATATGAGTTTGGATCTGGTTGTTCTCTTCCTTTACTCTCTTATTTGGTATGGTTGCTTTTTGTGTGACCCAGCTTATTAAAGGGACCTGGCTACTTATCCTACAGAATACCCTACTTCTAGATTTTTGTCAGTGTCTTCCTTGTGGTTGCATTCATATTGTCCTCTAATCCCTATATAAACTAGTGTTGATACCAGGCATTTACCAATTGGGGGATGTTCTATAACATGTCCTTGTTTTGAAAAACAATCATCAGGTGTAGGCAATTATTTTAGATTAAAGAAAACTAAATACAGTACATGATCCTTCATTAAATCCCATATGAAAAGTGTGGGGAACAAGCAAAAAGAAAGAACATCCTAGAATAAGTGGAAAATAGAAGTATGAATTTGGTGTCTGCTTTGTGCATCTCAGATTTTAATTTGCATCTCAAACCTTTTTACCATGCAGATCTGAAGCAGTAGGCATGAAGTAGACTTGATAATCTGCATTTCTAATAAGCTCCCAATGCTCCTACTCGTATACTCACTTCAAGCAGAGTAGGCAGGGTGAGGAAGAGTAAACAGCAGAACTGGACTCTCCACAGTCCTGCTTCTTCACTGAAGGGTCAAGGTGGAATACTGAGTTTATAGAATYATTTTAGTTGTGTGAGAATTTTGCAAAAGCACTTTGTAAATCGTGAATCAGAGTCGTAATTACTGTTAGCAAGTTACTGTTTTCCTTGGTTCTGTCCGTCCTCATGTAGCTTCTTTTCCCTGTCTCTTTTTTACTTTTGCTTAATGATGGCCCGGCGTTGTATCTTCATTCATTATCTGAGTCACTTTCATCTGTAGAGAGGGGCCACCTGCTGCCTGCCTGGTCCATTCAGGATGCTTATGAGGCAATTCAAGATCAATGTTTTTGGTTTTGTTGCAGTGCTTGATGCAGCTCATCATCGACATTGGCCTGGAGTATTGAAGGTGGTATCAGGATGCCACATATCCTTATTTCAGATCCCATTACCGGAAGATGGAATGCAGTTTGGAGGATCAATGAGCTTACATGGAAATCATATGACACTGGCTTGTTTTCATGGTCCAAATTTCCGTTCAAAATCCTGGGCCCTTTTTCATTTAGAAGAACCAAATATTGCTTTTTGGACTGAGGCTCAGAAAATCTGGGAAGATGGTAAACTGACATATACTTTGATGTTTTTCTGTGCATCTGTATACCTGTGTATACTTTTCCAGACTATGATTTTCTGATATGATTATAAACAACAAACCACTTTTCCATTCTCAAATCTTTTGTCTATTTTTTTATATTTCTGAAGTATTATCATGTACCTGGAATATTAAGGAGTTCATTGCCAGTGTATCAATGAAGTCTGGAACATGTCAATGACATATTTCTGATCTTGCTATCTTACTGTTTCCTAAAGTTGGTGCTGCTGTGTATGGCCTTAGTCAYGATAATAGGTATTATAAGTATTCCTATTAAAACAAGATCAATGTTAGTGCACGCCTATAATCCCAGCAGCTTGGGAGGCTTGAGACGAGAGGATCGTGAGTTCAAAGCCAGCCTTAGCAAAAATGAGGTGCTAAGCAACTCAGTGAGACCCTGTCTCTAAATAAAATACAAAATAGGGGTGGGGATGTGGCTCAGTGGCAAAGTGCCCCTGAGTTCAATCCCTAGTAACCCCCTGCAAAAAAAAAAAAAAAAAAATCAAACATAGTAGGATGAAGGAATTCTTGGCCATTAAAGACTATATTTTAAAATTTGCAGGGAAGGCTGTGCTTTTACCTCTCTAATTATAGTGATAAAACCCAGTTCTTTTGGACTTTGATTTTTTTCTACTCAGTGGTTCTTAATGATGAAGGATGTAGGAGGGAAAAAAATGGTTGATGCTCTTTATCTCACTAGGAATAAATCTAGTTGCAACTAAAAGAATTATTTGTGTTTTTTCTCATTTATTCTTCATTTTATGGCCTTCCCTGTCTACATATGATTTTAAGTTTGTTGCTCTGAGGCCACAAGATAGCAAGGCCACTATTTCTTGAATCTAATATAGTTTGTTACTTTTAAAAAGTTACCTTTTGGTGCTGGGATTGTAGCTCAGTGGTAGATTGCTTGCCTAGCATGTGTGGATTCAATTMTCAACATCACATATAAAAAAATAAAGGTCCATCAACAACTTTTTTTAAAAAGTTACCTTTTTCTTTTGCTCTAGGTTCTAGTGATCATTCTACATATATTGTACAAACCTTGGATTTTCATCTGGGCCATAACACCATGGTTACCAAACCATGTGGTGCCTTGGAAAGTCCTATGGCAACAATAACCAAGATCACACGGCGTCGCCATGAAAATCCACCCCATGGAGTAGCAAGTGTGAAAGAATGGTTCAATTATGTTACAGCCACCAGGAATGAAGGTGAACAGCTTGTCTTGGAGAGGGATTGCCTTTGTGTTTTCCTTCTGGGGTTTGGTTGACTGTGTTTAGAATCTTAAGAGGAGGTGGAGCTCTCATTTCTTTACAGGTTCTCACTTTTTATTCAGGTCAACATGGTGACTGTTTGGTACATGAACCTCTGACCTGGTAGTGTAACATTTCATGGGCTCAAATTATTTTATGATTCTTGTTTATCTTTTGGGGAAAAAAAAAAAAAAGGAGGTTCATTGCTTTGCTAGCAAAGGAGAAAGCCAGGGGACTCCTGTCCCAAAGGCTGTGATTCTGCTCATCAGCGGGAACTTTTAAAAGAGGCTTTTAAAAAGGTGATTCAAAGGCTGCATTCCATGTGTGCTCTGTCTGGAGTTGTAATTCACTTGTTAATTTGGGAGACAGTCATTTCTGAGGTCTTCTGGTGCCATCTCCAAAGTGTGGATCATTTCATTCTTGTGGTGGGTGTGTCTAATCAAAGAAGATAATCCTATTTCCCCTGAGATTAGGAAGGGAGAGACTAGGGAGGAGTAGCAAGAGAGGAAAAGAAGGAAATGTCAATTTTAAAAATAAATTGCAGTGGCAGAGAAGCCAGGGTTATATTTGAAGCATGAAATGGACTCTGTTACACTTCCCCACTGTCAATTTCTGCACTCCATTTCTGTGGAAAACTGGGTGATGACATCTCCAGAGTGCTTCCTGCTGAAAGAAGGCAAAGTTGGGGGCTGTGACCCAGAGTCCTTGTTCTCTGTCAGGTGGGGCATGGACAGTTAAGGGCATTCTGCACCAGAGCAGCCCACAGGGGCATCAAATTATTTTAAATGTAACTGAAAACATTCAAAATAAGATTGGTTTTAAAAAAAGAAAATGAAGTTTATTATATTGGGGGATATTTTTGGAAAGTAATATTGAAATATATTTTGTATTTACACTAAAAATTGGAGGTTTGGGAAATGATGATTAAGTAACAAAATGTCACAAACTCAGGTTCTACATAGCTAGAACAAAACAGAAGTTAGTGTAATATTCCTATTAAGTCATAAGTTTTGTTTACTTACTTACTGGTACCAGGGATTGAGCCCAGAACACTTTCCCAAGTTGGCTGAGGCCACTGAGTTGCTGGGATTGCAGGCCTGTACCACCAACCCAGCTAAGTCTCAAGTTTGAAGAGGTGCTTTAGTGGGTGGTTTCTGTTTTGTTTTGTTTCCCCATTTGATTAGATATGCTAGTCCTGTGGTAACATGGTCAGGTAGCTCTTCCTTTATGGTTGTTTTGGGGTTTGTGTTTACCACATTCTTTTTATCAATCATCTGATATATTGGAAAACTGAATAGATTGAAACACATTGAGGCCTGAACGTTTGACTTAAATTTGACTTGGATCCCATGGGGAATAGATATCATGAAATAGGTGGCCCTAGGGATTAAATAGAAACTGTTACAAAATCAAAATACAAAGGAAGGTGAAAAAGTAAATTAGAAGATTATGTCTGTGTTTACTATCCTACCTTCCAAAGGAATGGGATTCTTTTCAACTGGGCTATTCCATGGCACTGTTAGCGTACTGAATTGATGTCTGTGTACCTAGAAAAATACTTTTATAAGACAGCAGTAGTATAATCATAGCACATGTATGTGCTATTATTAGGTACTAGAACTTGTATCTAATTTCAAGGTCAGGATCATATTTAGTCCTGAATTCTGAGGTAATGCATCTGTAGAGACTTTGGACTTAATGAAATTCAAGTTCAGACATGTGAAATTCAGTTGAAAATAATATTCATTTTAAAGTTTGAGAAACCAAAATATATTAGGTTTTTTCAGAATCACGTTACAAAGCTTTGGTCTTGACAAGTGATACACACGMACACACGGCTGCATTTTTAAACTCGATTCTTGGCAGCTTTTGAAATGATTGACATTCTGTGTATTCTAGTCTCTTGAAAGCCAGAGGCTCTTCAGTGCCTGTTGGTTTGACTTTTTATCCTTATGTTCTGCACATAGAACTAAACTTGCTCCGCAACGTTGATGCTAATAACACAGAGAATAGCACTACTGTGAAGAATTCCAGTTTGTTGAGTGGATTCAGAGGAGGTTCTAGCTACAACCATGAAACAGAGACTATCTTTGCACTACCAAGGATGCAGCTTGACTTTAAGTCCATCCATGTTCAAGAACCACAAGAACCTTCATTACAAGGTAAGTGGAGGAACCTTAGTAACTAAGGTTACTAAGAAAATCCTGAAGGAACAAGCTGTTTTCTAACAGGTTATTTGGTAATATTAGCAGAATTTTAATGAAATTGATTTTATAAGTCACATTCATTGATATTCTTACCATAATATGTCCTCTGACAAATATTTAGCCTGTTTGTGCCTGTTTCTCCCAAGTGAAATGGGGAATAATAATTGGACTTCATTACCAGGCTTGTGAGGAACATGCTTGATAGACCACCACCCTTCTGTTGATCACATGCAGATTGCTTGTGATATGTAGTTGCATTTCAAGTGGGCACGTGCAGGCGCACTGCTTGCCTCATTATTAAAGGGAAGAGGACTCGTGTTACCAAGACTTTCACTGTAACAGAACTTCACCATTGCAGATGCCAGCCTAAAGCCAAAGGTGGAATGCAGCGTGGTGACAGAATTCACGGACCACATCTGTGTGACCATGGATGCTGAGCTCATCATGTTTCTCCATGATTTAGTGTCAGCCTATCTCAAAGAAAAAGAAAAAGGTGGGCTGCATGTTTTTTTTTTTTTTTCTTTCAAGCTGCAGCAAAGGCAGCTATTGATGCCACTTAAATGGATTTTTATGGTCTAGTGCTAAAAGGGTGGACTATATCTCCTTCCTCAAATATCAGTAAACAGCATTAGCATGGCTGTCGTGCAGGCTTTAAGTATCTACTAGCACATGGCACTTTTTCTAACTGTATCTGACACTGACTGATGTTTTATACTTTGCAGTGTTTTCCTGTACAGAATGTACATTTTCATACATTTTCAGTTAGTCCTTGTAAGAGATTTCTCCAAAGTAGGAAATATTGTAAGTTTAAGTAAAATGACTAAAAAGAAACAACTACATAATAAAATAGTGTTATGTAATTAGAAAAAAAACACATTGAATTAGATTGATCTGTTTACTTTTATAAACAAATTATTTGGAACCCAATGGTGGTGGTGTTCTGTTTTCATGAACTTGCTAACATGGGCTTGTTCACTGGGAACTTAAAAGTTTGCTCATGAAGAAACTATAACAACCCTAAAATAAATTCTATGTGGAATTGGTATTATAGTACCTTGTAGTTGTTTAAAAAACGAGGTAGGGGCTGGGGATATTGATCAGTTGGTAGAGTGCTTGCCTCACATGCACACGGCCCTGGATTCAATCCCCAGCACCACAAAAAAAAAAAAAAGAGGCAATTTGAAATGTGATATGTAATGCTCTCCAAAATATGTAGTCATTTATTCATCCAATATTCACTGGACAATTGTTGCAGTTCAAATATGAATGTATACAATAATAAAACAACAGCTTCTATCTTGGAATAAATGTAATTTGTTCAGATCACACTATAATGTTTCATTTTTTCATGAAGAAATTATGCAAAATTTGTCCTATATATATTTCAGGAATAAAAAGAACACATTGAAAGTTAGCATAGCATAAATTGAATTGCTCTTTCATTACTATTCAGTCAAGATGTGCCAAAATTCAGTGAGACAGTAAAATCAATAAGGTGCTTGGAAGCAGTCTGTCAGACCTCAGTTGGAACTTCGAGTAAAATGACTGAAATCACATAACAGGCAGCATTACATAAGCAGATCCAGTCTTCACATGCACCACCAATGTGCACCAGTAACTGGTAATCCTTTTGTTTTTCCCTCTGATTTGGTATTTAAATTTTAGATAGCGTAAAACAGATTATAAAACTTGTGAAGTTCAGAATAAATTTCTAGTCTACCTTTAAAAGCCTGCCAAACTTATGTCTCTCAGGTGCTATGTGAAACCTTTTGGCATTTGATGAAATATTGTGTTGTTCTTAGACTGTCATCAACTATATTTCTAAAACAAAAATCTCTTTTAATTTAAACTGTTGTAAAACATGATTTCAATGGGAATCAATTTACAAAACAGTATTATTATCTGTGGGGATTGCAATTATAAACATCTTTTAATACCTGTAAGCATAATTTTTTTTTATTATAAACTAGAAGCAATTCGTTTGGGCAAAAAAAGCATAAACATTCCTGAGAAAACACTGAACAGCATGTAAGACTGGACCGGAAGAATCATCCTGGTTCTAGAACATCAAGATAAATTGTAGTCCTGTAACCACCAGCAATAATAAAACCTCAGGGATCAGACAGGCAGTAAGTGAAGACACCCACCCACGTTCTGGCATAGTGGGAAAGTCGTCCTACAGCTCATTCCCCACAAAAGTGTAACTGGGGCTGCATAATGCATATCAAATGACCTAACTAATCTTTTTTTATGTCATTTGTGTCTTGAAATTTGTGCTCCAATAAAAATGCTATATTTATTAAATAAGCTGTCTTAGATTTGATTTATGACAGCCAATCTAAAATCTAATCTTTTATAAAACATTTCCTAGAGCATTCACTATAAAAAATAAAAAGACTCCTTACATGAAAAGCTCCTAGGTTAGTACCACTGTAGCCATCAACATACGGAAACTGTAGAATTATTGTGTGGTACGTGACTATCTCAAGCCGTAAAAAGCAGTCGTCCATCACCAGCCACCTTGAGGAAATCTGCAGCTACTAATCTGAGTGCCCTGTGCCTGCTGTCAAATAAACAGCTTCACCGTGGGTATTGACGTTTTCTTCCAAGAAGTACTTATAACTGGTCCTTGTTTATGATATACTTGAAATGCTACTTTTTAAGAAATGTGATTAAATGAGGTTTGTCAAGGTCATGCATACAAGCAGAGATGGAGCCAATTATTCTGTTCCTATGGGGACTTATGATGATTCGTAAGATGCATATTTGTAATATCAACCTATGATTTCATTACAGCCATCTTTCCACCTCGGATTTTATCTACTCGACCAGGACAGAAAAGCCCAATTATTATGCATGATGATAGTTCTGACAAAGACCGAGAAGACAGCATCTCTTACACCACTGTGGACTGGAGAGATTTTATGTGCAACACATGGCATCTGGAACCCACTCTTAGGCAAGTAACGGGTGTGCATGTTTTACCCTTACCTAAGGCAACACTGCAAGGAAAAGGCTGACCATAGCATAGGTCAAACATGGTTACCAAAAAACATGGAGGGCTGGAGAGTAGCTCAGTAGGAGAGCGCTTGCCTAGCACGTGTGAAGCACTGGGTTCGATCCTCAGCACCACAAAAAAATAAACAAAGGCATACTGTCCATCTGCAACTACACACAACTACAACTACACACACACACACGCACACACACACAGTACATGGAGAATTTGGTCACTGGTGATCTTCTACTTCTGATGGTGACTTCAGCATCTCGCTCCTGCTTTCCTAAGTGATTCTGTGTGAAGCATAGGCAGCAAACACTGAGGAAAGCTCATTGCTATCAKGTGTGCTGGTGACATTTGGGAACATCTCCTCCCACTATCACTGTTATATCTCAGTTTCTCAACCAGGACATTGTTTTCAGGTGTTTCAGGTAGCTACAGATGCAGTCAAAGCATACATCATCATTAAGGAATCATTTCGATTTCCTGCTGCACACATGTTGTAACAGTGCAGTAGAACCTGGCGTCACAGTGTCCTGATTTGATATTAAACAGTATAAAACCATGGTCTAAAATGTTGAATTTAATGCTGTCAGATACAGGTTCCCTGACTGACTCATATTGTCATGGTTCCAATTGTATCAACTTGTTTTCATATCAGAATTTTAAAAGCAGTTTCTAGTTTTAATGAAATAGTCATTTCACTACTGGTACTTGCTTTATGGGTTCACGTTCTTTCCTATTTTTTCCCCTTTCCTCCCATCTGCTTTGTTAACCAAATTATAACTATCCCCCCCMAAAAAAAWATCCATCCACCCCAGAAAAATATTCTAAAAAAAGATTTAGATTTTATACAGTTATTATTCAGACATTTATGGCACAAAACAATTCCAAAATAATTATATTATATAATGGAATCTGTATAAGCAGAAAMTGTTGACTTTGTGTGCTAATAAGTAATACACATTCAGTAAAATCTGTCATAACCAATAGCAGAACACTCTGATGGGAGAAACCAACATTGTCATTACTTGTGTTTTAGCCTTTTTGTCACTGTGACAGAACACCTAAGAAAAACAACCTAAAGGAGAAAAGATTTAATTTTGGCTCAGGTTCTCAGCATTTCAGTCCATGGTTAGCTGGCTGTTACCGGCTGGTGCTGAGGCAGAACATGGCGAAAGGGTTTTGTACAGAGCAAAGCTGTCCCCCCATGTCAGTCGGGAAGCAGAGACAGACACTGCTGCACTGGGGACCAACCCTTTAAAAACACGAGCCTTTGGGGAACATTCCAGATCCAAACTGTACATGCAGGAACAGTATTGAAATTTTGCAAAAGTCCTAGTGCAAAAAACTATCTGAAAAATCTGGTTTTATTTGCAAGTCTAAATACATAATGTAATTGATAATTGACTRTCTTTTAGAGTGTATTTAAATAGATTATATATGAATTTTCAAGACACTATAAAAATAGTTGCCATATTCTTTTTTAAACAAACTAACAATAATTAAGTAATTTTGTATAGTGGTATTGAACATGCTTAACAGCTCTGCTGTAAGCTCAGCATAGTAATGGAATGATCTAGGGACAAAAACCTATCCTCTCCTCTCTTTGTTCATTTCCTCTCTAACCTCAGCAGGGTGGTCACACTGGTTAAATGAGTTAATTAGTGCAAAATGCTTGTAACAGTTTGAGTTTCAGGAGATCTTTGCTTGCTATCCACCACTGGAGCTCAGGGCCAACTGAGATAGTGGGGGAGCATGGTTGGAAACAAAAGGGCAGTTGTGGTGCTGATGGAGCCGGAAACAGTGGAAAGCCACTGCTGGATATCTGCCAGCAAGTGGCTTTCTACTGCAGAGTCCAGGATGAACTTGCCTCCAAGGCTTCAGTGATGCAGAACTCCCCRAGTGGGGTGGGGTAGGGGTGCCTTGGATTTGTATAGTCAGCAGATCTATGTACTTACCTCACCAAGAAAGCACCCAACACCTGTGGCTAACCTGTCTATTAGGGGCTGTCCTTGAAAAACCTAGAACAGAGAGAAAATGACTAAAACCAGTGGTTTTCAAGAGAAAAGCAGGGAGGAGGGCACTGAACTGCACTATGCAGTTCCTCTGCAAGCTCTTTCAGTGAGTGTCTCACCACTCAGAGGCAACTGTCATTTCTCCACACAGTGGAGGGCAGTACCCGGCATGGGGAAACCACTCTGCACATGGCACTCAGTAAGTTGTGCCTTTTTGCCTTGTCATGACAAGCTTGTGAAACCTCTTTAACCCAAGGCACTTTTTAAACTGACTGAACACTATTGACTGCTATAGTAGGCAATGAAGGATTGTACACCTGCATTATTTTCAAATGCTAATATTAAAGTAAATGCCCGCAGTCCGGCCTGCAGCAAACTAAGGGGGGGGGGGGGCTGCACGAGGAACTGGTGTACATTGATACAGCAGGAGTGGGAGCCATTTATTGTAGGACAGGAGGGGTATATATACATTCCACACAGCTTATCTTAATTAACATAAACTAGATACAGCAGTCAACCAATAAGGAATCTCCACACTTAATGGCTCGCTGGCGTTTCTTCACAAACCACTCCCTCTGGCAAAATGCCAGGCGCCGTCTTGACTTGTTTACAGACCTGAACAGTAAGTACAGGAATTATGGGCTCAATTATTCAAATGCCCTGAGTATATTAGGGAGGGTCAGTGATGTTCTTGGACCTGCCATCAGGACTATGTTAGGGCATTTTACCCCTTAACAAATATCATTTATAATTATTKTAGATTAATTTCTTGGACTGGAAGAAAGATTGATCCAGTAGGTGTTGATTACATTCTTCAAAAATTGGGCTTTCATCATGCCAGGACAACCATTCCTAAATGGCTTCAGAGAGGAGTCATGGACCCACTGGACAAGGTTCTGTCTGTTCTTATCAAAAAGCTTGGCACTGCACTACAGGACGAAAAGGAAAAGAAAGGAAAAGACAAAGAAGAACACTAGGAGAGTAACTTGATCCATGAAGATTTGAGTGTGTCCATTAAGTTTTGCTACACTGGAGTGTTTTTTAATTTAAATTATAACTTTGAAATAATTCTAATTTTGTGGCCATTGTATTAAAAGTTTGCAAGTTAATGTTTATTCTAGTTCCACCATTCTGTGTACAGTGAAGTATTATTGCATGATAATGTAAATTTTGTGATGAACTAGATTAAAATATACAAATTTGATCATTAGGAGTTATAATTGTWTTATGTGCAATATGATTCCTGCATCCTTAAAATATTTGCAGAATAACTGTGAATTCTCTTGTTATTGGCCATAACTTTTAGAAAAAAATTCTTGTTGATAATGTGATGGGAGGACATTAATTCCTTTTTTTTTTAATGTAGACTTGTATAAATATCTATATGTATATAGTTTGAGTAATTGTGTTATGATGTTTACCACTAAAATATTGTTTGTAATTATTGTAATAAAGTCACAATAATGGTTTCAGTCTATAACTGTTTGGGGATCTTTCTCACCTTTCATAGTTTATCATTAATAGAGGTCCATCCTGTGTCACAGTCATCAAATATTTTTATAGGTGACTGATTAATAGTAAGTAGCTCAAGGAAGAAGTTGTCAGGGCCCGACAGAGGCTTCAGAGACAGCAGCTGCTGTTCCAGTCATGGGTGAGAGCCAGCTGCTCACAGCTGTTATTATACTATGCTCCTGACATACGTTTATATGTATTCTTTTATGCATATGGAGGCAGTGTTATATGTAATGTACATACATGTATGATGTACACGTGTAATTTAAAAAAGAGTGGCAATATCCAATCACTCAAAGGTAGCTATAGTGACCATGATTCAGGTTGGTTGGAACTCCAGCTGTCAGTGCAGTCAGTTTTAAGATTGGGTAAATGGGGGACCGGGGATGTGGCTCAGCGGTAGAGCACTCACCTAGCACATGCGAGGCGCTGGCTTCAATCCTTGGCACCACATAAAAATTAATAAATAAAATAAAGATATTTTAAAAATTGAGTAAATGGTAGAACTGCAGAACACAGAGCCAGGGAAGGGCTCAAGAAYACCCTTGCACAGATAGACAGGACAGTATTACTTCTGACAGATTAGAACAAACTCCAGAGGAGCAAAGGTGCTTGGCAAGAGTACACGTCTAGTAAGCATGAGTAGGGGAATTAAGACTCAAAGGTTGGACTCTCACAGCCATTTGGTAACAACTATAACTGAAGCCCTAGAATCAGCCCCTGATTCTGTATTCTTTATGCTGTATCATCTTACCGTCTGCATCCTCCCTGCTCACCCCAGTATACTTCATTCATCAAGTTCACCAGAGAAGCGGTTCTTGGAACTGGGGTGTAAGAAAACACTGCCAGAAAGTTACTTCATAAAACAAACTAGAGGTTAAAGAAATTAGTACCCTCAGTATCATTTTTAGGTTTTAATTCTCGGCTTCAAAGATAAACAGAATGCCAGTAGTTCTAAATGATAATTTTCTGTGGCTTTCAATATTATTGGTATGGTCACCAAAATATAATATAAATTTATCCAGTATCTGGCACTTCCTGTTAAAAGTGGTATAAAAAGAAGAGCAATTCTAAATAAACCTATTGGGTTGAGGTGTAGCTCAATGATACAGCATATACTTGGCATGTTTGAGGTTCTTGGTTTCAATCCCCAGCACCAMATAAAAAATAATAAAATCTTTATTCAAAAGACCTATGACTCTGTTGGATAAATCTTTGAGACAACCAGCACATTTGTTCAGTGCTGTTGGGAATATAATTTGGTACAACCCCTCTGAAGGACAGCAGGTAACACCACAAAGGCATGTCATCTCCTAATAAAAGCAGTCTCACTGGATACACTTTCATATGTGTGAAATGATTATACAAGAATATTTAGTATATAGCAATATTCTTTGTAATAAATGGCTGGAAACTATTCAAATGTCCATCAAGAATACAGGTTAAATACTGGCACATCCACTCAGCGGAATAGTATGGTTTACTCTTTTTTTWAAATATTTTAGTTGTTGATCGACCTTTATTTACTTATATGCTGAGAATCGAACCCAGTGCCTCACACATACCAGGCAGGTGCACTACCACTGAGCCATAGCCCCAGCCCCGTAAGATTTACTCTTAAATGCAAAATGCAACATAGACCCAAGCTGTGTAGATTATAGTTTTCAGGTAGGCCATTAAAATTATTTTTTGAGTATCATGTACCTTGTTTTATTCTAGTGAATCGCATGATACATGCATATCATCTGTAAAATTTCCATAATGTAATGCTCCTATATGTAAAACTTGTGCTTTTAGGTTCACTAGAGACCTATAATTTGCAATCTGTAGTGAACAACCATTTTTAAAACTTAAATCTGACATAAAGCAATAATCTTTTTTTAAATTTTTTTTATTGGTTATTCAAAACATTACAAAGCTCTTGACATATCATATTTCATACATTTGATTCAAGTGGGTTATGAACTCTCATTTTTACCCCAAATACAGATTGCAGAATCACATCGGTTACACATCCACGTTTTTACATAATGCCATATCTTGTAAAATATAATTAAGAATTATTCAAAATGAAAAAATATAATAGAAGCTCAAATTTTTATTATTAGGTTCAACAGTAGACTATCAATTTGCTATAAAAATTTCTAAGGCATACTCTTGATTTCTGTACTTGTCAAAGAACTCTGAACAGGTCCTGGAGTGTCTCGATCYGTGAACCAGTTTCACAGAACTGCTTTTAAATCACCTCTCCATCTTCACTATGGACTGTTGCCTATTAACATTCTAAAAGAAAAACCCAGCCACATAGGTGGACTGGGCATTTTCTTTTTTTTTTTTCCTTTTTAATATTTATTTTTTGGTTTTTGGCGGACATAATATCTTTGTTTGCATGTGGTGTTGAGGATCGAACCCGGGCCGCACGCATGCCAGGAGAGCACACTACCGCTTAAGCCACATCCCCAGCCCAACTGGGCATTTTCTATGAGATGATAGTGCCATGCCCAGATTCACTGTGACCTCTGCTCCTCTGCTCACCAAGAGCTAATACTCACCAATCTCACCGAATTCATTAAAGAAACTTTCTAATTTTTTCTTTCGGGGTTTCAGGCTTAGAATCATCCTCAGTTGGTCARTACTCAAGTCTGACTTTAGGGAATTTTGTCTACTTACTTAGATCAGAGTTGAGCATCAAAACCAGGAAAAGTTCTGCACTCATGTTCCAACATCTTGCTCAGCTGGTGACTTGTGGAAAAGCTTTCACATAACCTACCAGATTTGGGGAGGCATTTTTTTGGAACAAAGTGATATTTAAAAAGCATAAAGAACAAAAGGTGGCCATACTAATCAGTATAATAATTGGATAAATTAGTAAATGGGAAATAAATGAACAGCCAAGCCTAACAGTGCTAACTCCCCAAACCCACATAAACCACAATCTAACACTCTGGTCCACATTATTTGTATCTTCATCCACTTCTTAGATCTAAGTAATGTAATTTTTATTAGTTCTTCTGAAAGAAAAATGGAAAATGGGTTATGGTTGGTTAGGAGAAACGAGAGTGGGAAGCAGGAGACCTGTTAGCCGACTATTGTACAAGTCCCAGCAAAAATGACAGTTGCTTGGATGAGAGTGGTCACCATGGAAATGGCAAGAAATGGACACATTCAGGACTTGTGGAAATGGCCAACAGAACTACCTGAGGGAATGGGAGCGGGGAAAGAAAGGATAATTTGTGGACATGGCCAGAAAATTTATATTAACTAGATTAATCTCAGGAAGAGCACCCATTCCTCAGACTAAGGAAGCCTCTCCCAAGACACAGGACTTGGCCAGCAGAATGGAGCCCCGCCTTTCCCTTTGGCTTAGTACCCTTTACCACCTTACTACAGCCTTGCACCTAGATTTTTGGCTTGTGCAACTTGGTTAAAGACAGTGGCGTGTACTAATGAATTCACCATCATGTCCAATTCCCTGCGTTTTCCTGGCTAAGGGTAAGGAAGAGTCCCATCAAGATGAAAGATGAGCGCACTATAGTGCAAGTTGTCAAATGTTGCAAACCACATGTAGTTTGGGCCATTCAATGTGAGGCTACACTGACATCAGTATTCAGAAATATRTGGAAGCAAGTATTCAGAATCTGGTGAATTTTCATGTACCCAGTTGGTAATAGTGATATTTATATGGTATCAAATCTGAGGTTTTCTTATCGAAACCAGTACATAAACAATGTTCAGAGTAATCCTGAAACATGAATCATTTAAATCACACTGACATACCTTAAAAATTGAACAGTATTGTTTTTCCTTTTATACGTTAACTCACTGGGGATTTCTCCAAATTGTGGATCATCCGACCCAGAGCATAAGTTGGGCAAGTCTCAATTTTAAGCGTATTTTAAAAACTGTCTTCCAAATATGCCATCTCTCTCAAACCTTCATGTGCTAAACTTGACATGCTAATTGTGCTGAAATAAAACAGAAAAAAAGCCCCCTCCAGTAGGTATGTGGTGTGCTGGGGTCTGGGGAGCAGGGCCTGCATGAGCTGGTGAGCACTGTGGCCCAAACAGAAAGCCGGCCATTTACTTTGGTTACAAAGTAACTACTACTACTAGTAAAATCAAGGCTCTTTTAACCCTGTACTCCCAGCTTCCAGCCTCCTGGCTAGATAAAGATACATATTAAATATTGTGGACTGAATGAGGACTAGTCTATGAAATAACTGAGCAGTACTCATAAAATGTAGGTCGTGAAAAACAAGGGAAAACTGAAAAATTGCCTCAGACTACAAGAAATTAAAGAATGCAATGTGGTCACCTGAATGCTGTCAACTATGGATGTTAGCTGAAAAACGTGTGAAATCCAGTTAGTGGTGGTATACCAATGTGATTTCTTAGTTTTCACAAATGTGCCATGTTATATAAGATAACTTAGGAGATGAACTCAGCCATCTTCACAACTGGTCCATAAACCTAAAGTTTTTCAAAATTACATATACATAATTTTGACCTTACTTCTTTAACCCCTTGAGTTTCTACTTCCATTTCAGGTTTCCTCTCACAGTTGATCCTAATGTAATCACATCTCTCTTTACTTAGCATCATCTTTATACTTCTTGGGAACACTTAAACTTTTAATTCCCTGTAACCTAGTCTCTAAATGTTAAGAAAAAAATCTGAATTATAATTATTAATGGGCATTTGATCAAAGCAATGTAATCAACACATATTGATAATCACTAAAGGAAAATACACTTTTATTGAAAATGCATTCCATAATGGAAGGGATGGAATTTTTTCCAATTTCAGCATGTATTTATGGATGGATGTGACTTTTTGCTACAATGAGGTAAACCACCATCAATTTTATTGTCCTTTTCCTTCYTTCGTTTTTAAGAATAAATTTAACCCTTGAGAAAACTTCTCCATCTAAATAGTAGATGGTAGTGGAGAGTAAGCTGT